AGGCAGAATGCTGATACGTAATACAACATGAGAAAAATAAGTCTTGTTGCCATCAACAAGGCTGACGTTCCAAATGGAGTTGCCATAAGCGTTGCCTTTCAAAATTGAATGTAACGTACCTTGCAAATCCAAAAAGGGTTCACCAACAAATAAGACTTCGTCGCTTGCAATGCTGGACAACACAAAAAAAGCTCCAGTACTGAGCACGTGAATATCTGTTGCGACAGAAGCAACTGTATCAAGATCATGGCTGTCTTCCAATGTTTGCAGAACAGCTTTTGCTAGCCTGAAGTATGTTGAAGGATACACAGGAGTTGTTTGAACAGGAATTGGGGAAGTGGAACTCGTCGTAGGCGCTGGTGTAGTCGTGCTCGTCGTAGGCGCTGGTGCAGTCGTGCTCGTCGTAGGCGCTGGTGCAGTCGTGCTCGTCGTAGGCGCTGGTGCAGTCGTGCTCGTCGTAGGCGATGGTGTAGTCGTGCTCGTCGTAGGCGCTGGTGTAGTCGTGCTCGTCGTAGGCGCTGGTGCAGTCGTGCTCGTCGTAGGCGCTGGTGTAGTCGTGCTCGTCGTAGGCGCTGGTGCAGTCGTGCTCGTCGTAGGCGCTGGTGTAGTCGTGCTCGTCGTAGGCGCTGGTGTAGTCGTGCTCGTCGTAGGCGCTGGTGTAGTCGTGCTCGTCGTAGGCGATGGTGTAGTCGTGCTCGTCGTAGGCGCTGGTGCAGTCGTGCTCGTCGTAGGCGCTGGTGCAGTCGTGCTCGTCGTAGGCGCTGGTGCAGTCGTGCTCGTGGTAAGTGCAGGTGCAGTCGTGCTCGTCGTAGGCGCTGGTGCAGTCGTGCTCGTCGTAGGCGCTGGTGTAGTCGTGCTCGTCGTAGGCGCTGGTATAGTCGTGCTGGTAGCAGGAGCTGGTGCAGTCGTGCTCGTCGTAGGCGCTGGTGCAGTCGTGCTCGTCGTAGGCGCTGGCTTAGTAGATCTCGTCGTAGGCGCTGGTGTAGTCGAAATGGGTGATAAGTTCGCAACAAACGTCGTGCCGTAGATACTCGAAGAAAGCCTGAAACAGAAAAAAAGTAAATCAACGTGTGAATTAAAGAGAAAAATAACCTTGAAGAATTGGAAGGAGAAAACAAATATTCGAGACAAGTGTCTCCTGTGTATCCTGGGAAGCACCTGCACCACTCCCTCGTCAGCCCCCCATCCCATGTCTCTCTCCCTCGCCCTCCCTCCTCCCTGTGCGCCGCCTCCTCTTGCTCCTGGTCGACCTCTCCTCTTGCCTCCTCCCTCTCCGCCTAGGCCTCCTCCAGTCTGCTTGCCCCCTCGCCTCTGGGGCTCAGCCCTCTCCCCTTCCCTCCGTACCCCTCCCGCGCTGTCCTGCTGCCTGCGGTCTCATCTCTCCCTCCCTCCCTCTGGCCTGGCCTCTCTCCTGCCTCTCTCCTGCCTTCGTCCGCTCCTACTTACTTGCACGTCCCGTCCTTCCCGCGACACCGCCCGTGCCCGCTGCAGTTCTTGTCCATCGAGCACTCCTGTCCGCACACGGTCCCGTACTGGTCCTCCGAGCAAGGCAAGCAAGTCTGGCCTCCGAAGCCCTCCTTGCATACACACGTTCCTTGCTTGCACTCGCCCCGCTCGGGCCCTCCGCAGTCTTCCGTGCTCGCGCAGGCTCCGCCTCCATGGCCGGGCTGAGACGACTCTTGCGAGCACGTGTCTCCTGTGTATCCTGGGAAGCACCTGCACCACTCCCTCGTCAGCCCCCCATCCCATGTCTCTCTCCCTCGCCCTCCCTCCCCCCTGTGCGCCGCCTCCTCTTGCTCCTGGTCGACCTCTCCTCTTGCCTCCTCCCTCTCCGCCTAGGCCTCCTCCAGTCTGCTTGCCCCCTCGCCTCTGGGGCTCAGCCCTCTCCCCTTCCCTCCGTACCCCTCCCGCGCTGTCCTGCTGCCTGCGGTCTCATCTCTCCCTCCCTCCCTCTGGCCTGGCCTCTCTCCTGCCTCTCTCCTGCCTTCGTCCGCTCCTACTTACTTGCACGTCCCGTCCTTCCCGCGACACCGCCCGTGCCCGCTGCAGTTCTTGTCCATGCTGCAAGACTGTGTACATACCATTCCATACAGATCTTCGTCACATGGTTCATTGATTGTGATTGACCTTGAAGTCATAACATCGCAATCCTTGGTTGCACAAGATGTGCTGTTGGTATTTATTGTCATAGTTCTGTACTTCGGAGTTTTCATGAATGCCTTTGCCGACGCTGCCTGGACCACACTGAATGCAAATAGCACACAGCAAGCCATCAGCAGAAGCAGTTTTGCTGCGTGTGGTTGGTTGGAGGCGCTCATTTCTTTGTTCTACTTCGCAAGTGTCCTGGTCGTAGCCTTTCCTCAACAACCTCCTCCCTCTTTCCCTCTCCACAACACCATGGCGCAGCAGCCCAGACTCTACCACCCCCTACCCCCTCCACCCAATCACCCCTACCCCTAATGTGGAACCGCTGAATACCCCTGTAGCAATCTTTTCCTCCATAGCTGATAGGGCTTGGTGTCCTAGGAAGGGATACATCGCCGAAGGTACCAGGATCATCAGGTGTCACTTATTGTTTTTAAAACCCAAGGGAGATTTGTGTGGTAAAGTGCTCCGCTCGCAGCTGGAGCGATTGAACGAACCCACCTTTATAAGCCTTACAAGCAGGGAAATGGTAGGTAGGGTATTAAGCTAAATCTTTTATTAATTACAACACTTATTACAATTAAATGGATATATGCGAACGGTTAATCATTTAAGTTAATTGGCAAATCGCTGCATCCACACTTGACCTAATGAGACCTGAAAGTTTGGCGGGTTATTATCGACGGTGTTACATAGAATTAATCTCACTATTTGAAAATTAGATTGACTACTTGAAATATACTTCAAAAGCCGCCCAGGGCTCACTGGCAATATCTCCATCACGTGTACGTTACGGCCTGCGGAGCAAGTGGTTATCTGACGGTTATTACTCAAAAGTGAGAAGACCCCTACTAGAACACGTGAAAGCAGGGGAAGAGGGTAGGTGGGGTTCTTGAGTGCAGGGGGAGTGGGGATTGTTTACTTTATGTTGATTTTGGGGGGGTTGGGGTTGATTTCTTCAATTTATCCACTTTGGCTGGGGTGCTGACTGATGGGCGACTACCCGGTGTTTTACCAGAATATAAAAGGGTACTCTGCAAATCTGAAGATAAATGATTGAAATGCCTGGGTGGGGTGAAATTTTGAGTGGGGTAGGAGGGTGGTAAGCAGCAGAGAGACGAGTCACCGGCATTTTGATGTCATGGGTGGGGAAAGGGACCAGAAAGGAAACAGGAGCAGGAGACGATGAGTCCAAGGATGAATGGCGGGGTCGGTGGAGATAGGAGTCAGTAGAATCGGCACAACGCAGGCAGCAAGCGCTGTGTCTTGAAGAATGAACATTCGTTGGAGATGAGTGAGTAGTACAAGGAGTTTTGCGGTGCAACGCACCGCAGTTGAGCTCAACAGTGAAGTAGAGTAGATTGATGGGTTCGAAGGTGATACTGACGTGCTTTTAGATGTGGAAGTGGCATCAATACATACCGAACGATGAGTACGTCGCAAATCCCAAGGACAACACTCTCGCATCCTTGTTGCTAGAGGCTTTCAAACTGCTAGAGCTTCGCTTCCACTCGTACGATGCAGATGAAGCGGAAACGCTCATGTACTTCGAGTTGGAGAGAAAGCTTGCCATGGCGGGCTTCGTGGAATCCGAAAAGCTGCAAGCCTTGTTCAAGAGAGTGGACTTGGATGGAAACGGAACCCTTGACTTCTCTGAATTTTTGTGTTTGTTATATCTGTGGGTAGATCAAGGAAATTATTCATGCTTCTTCCGAAATCAACAGAACGCACACATCGTTTCCAAGGCATTCATGCTGATGGAGCAGGCCATGATCAAGTACGATGTCGATCGGAACAGGACTTTGAACATCAACGAGCTCACTGCGTTCTTCACGGATCATATTCCTGTTGCCGTTCAGTCGGGAGTGTACAAAACCGTCGTTGATTTCGTCTACCCCGAGAACCAACGACAGGTAGCCTTCGTTCTTGTTCCCTTTGTCATGCTCCGATCGTTGTGTTTGTTTCGAGAATGATGACTCTGCATGCAGACTTCGGAGCTCAGCTTTCCCAAGTTCATGTACTTGCTGTACGACGTCATGTGCAAATACCCGGGATCTGCGTTGAAGGGCACCTACTCAAGAACAGGCCTAAAGCTTACCAGAAGCTTTTCGAGCGGAAATGTGGGTGAGAGCAGCGCCTTCTGGAAGGAGCTCAGCGAAGCCTACAAGGTTCTGGAGCAGGATTTCAAGCATTTCGATACCAACAAGGACAATGTTGTTGATTACGATGAGATCACTCGAGGCTTTCCGGCTGCTCGAACTGCCCAGGAGAAGGTCAACATCCTTTCGAGGCTGGAGTACGCATATTCTCAAGTAGACCTGGATGGCTCTGGCTCGTTGGATTTCTACGAGTTCGTATATCTTTCTTTCATGATGACTCAGAATGGATCCTATCATGACCTTGTGGAGGATACCACTGGCGCCCAGAAGGTCAAGAAAGCATTTATTGACATTCATTCGTTCTATCGCAAGTACGACACGGACAAGAACCTTCGCCTCACGCTTGATGAGGTTCAAAACTTTTGCCGAGACCTTTTTGGAGTTATCCCAGACAGAGTTCCATCCTTGTTCGCCAGCAACTCATACAAGAGTTCGGCAACTCAAGGACGAGATGCGCTGGATGTAGTGAGATTCATGAAGTTCTTATATGCGCTTACATGTCCCGATGGCATGTATAATCCCGACAACTATCATCCAGAAAAGCGAGTTGTTCAGCCGAATTTGGTGTCGATTCCAGTGGCAAAGAAGGATGCCAGGCCCGCTCGTATTCACCATGTTGTGCCAGCCAAGTTCTCCAAGGGCAAGCTTCTTGGCCAGGGAGGCCAGGGAACTGTCCACCTTGGAACCTATGATGGAATGTCATGTGCAGGAAAGACACTCATTGGAGCCCCGGATGCCGGGACAGTTCAGGAAACCATCGATGAAGTTGACTTCTTCCTCAAGCTTGACCATCCAAATTGTCACTATCTGCTGGGCGCGAAGACAACACTCGAAGATGGCGGGATCTTGATTTTGACAGAGCTTTGCGATCTCGGATCTATCTATGACTTCTACAGCAAGGGAAGGAAGAAGTTCGACACTGCCACCTCGCTCAGACTCGCGGAAGAGTGTGCTACAGGGTTCGAGGTGATCCATTCGCTGGGGTACATGCATCGCGACATCAAGTCCCTGTACGTCCCTTGTGCTCTTTTCAATTCTCGCTGAGATTCTCTCAGGAACGTTTTCCTTTCCAAGGATCTCGTTGCTAAGGTTGCTGACTTTGGGATGTGTACTCCAGCGCCTCTGGCAACAGATGCCTGTGGCACTCCTCAGTGGATGGCACCTGAGGTCATTTCAAACCTCCTGGGCATGCCCAAGGAGTACGACAGGACAGTCGACGTTTTCAGTTACGCCATCTTGCTCTGGGAGCTCTTCCATTGCTCCACTCCCTACATGGAGACAAGACTCGATCAGATGGGTATCTGCAAGAACGTCTTCCATCGCCATATCCGTGAGTGACCGACACGTCACGCGATCATCCTCCCCTCCTTATCATTTCACAGGCCCGCCCATCTCGCCTTCCTGTCCCCCGGGGATCTCGGCCCTCATTCAACGCTGCTGGGACAACAACCCTTCGGCAAGGCCGACCTTCAGTCAGGTATGCTATCATCGCCAGTGTGATGGTGAAGCGACACTGACAGCTGTTTTCCTACAGGTGCGTGAAGCAGTGGCAAAGATCAGGGGGACAGCGTAAAGGAAGTTCATGCCAAGTGCCATCCAGGCGCACAAAATCAATTTGAATTAAAGAACTACAAAGTAAGCAAGCATGTGTGTGTCGCTCCATCAATAAGAAATGCTCAGAGGAACTGAGCAAGAAATGGAACCTTTCTCATAATTGGTTTTTCCAACTGGGCACAAAGAGCATGTGTCGATACTCGCAGCACCAGGGGTTGTGCTGAACTTTCCCGCGTCGCACTCCGCACAAGAGGTAGAGCCGCTGGCGTTAGAGTACGTTCCTGGCCTGCAGTTCACGCAAACATCTGGCCACCTTGCTCCAGTCTGTAATCCAAACTTCCCTACGGGACAGTCATTGCATGTCGTTCCCCCCATCCAGAATCTGAACTTCCCTGACTCACAGTTTGTACATGCTGTCGCTCCTGCAGAGCTGTACTTGCCCCAGTCGCATGCAAAGCACTCTCCTCCTTCGCTTGAAAACTTCCCTGCAGGACAGGAAACGCAGACACCGTAGGAGCTGCCAGAAGTTCGCTTCTCGTACGTGGCAGGCGGACAAGGGCAGCAGGAAACTCTCAGAACGCCATTTTCATGCTTCTGGCAGCATCGCTGCTCGTCTGTGGCGATGCAGCTCTGATTTGATGCGGGCTCACAGTGGATGTTGACCATCTCGCTATCCCACACGCACTGCCATCTCCCTTCCGATGTTGAGAGCATGTGAAGGCAGAGGAAGCAGGACAACAAGTATGCCCTTGCCATGTCTTGCCCTTGTGATCAACACAGCAGCTGCTTGTCCCTTGTCGCCGGTTCTTTTGTTTGCTGATCCGCTCCCCAGGTCCGAGTCTGTCACTTCACTGTTTTCCTCAGATCTCCCACTTCTCCTGCTCACTCTCGTGTAGCTCTCCGATCACTTCCTTGCCTGATGCTGCTCGCCTCTACTCTCTCTTCGTCCCTCCTGCCCCATCCTCTCCCGCCTTCGCTCGCATTGCTCTGGGCCGGGCTGACTCCTCACATCAAACCTCACCACCACCACCCTCACACTCCACCCCTACATGAAATATAGTTTTATGGGGTGATGAATTAGGGGGGGTTGGGGTCGAACGAAATGCTCAACAAGCTTGCTGTGCGGGGTTGGGGATGGGCGTATCTGCTGCTGAGCCTGCCACGTGCTTTCTCATGGCGCTCCGTCTTGCGACAACCTACCAAGGCGTCTCTTGATCAAAATGTCAGTACAAGATTTGGCAACATGCATTACCGCAAGCTCGGAAACATGGCTTCGAGAAATCATGCGCTGTTCATTCATGGTCTGGGATCCGATTCCAGCACGTGCTTGCCCTCCCAGAGACTACTGGATGAAGTAAATTGGATCATTCCGGACCTCGCAGGTCATGGGATGAGTTGTAAGCCTCTCGATTTCGAGCCATATACCATGAAGTCACAGGCAGATTCCATTCACCAGATTTTGTCGGAGCAAGGAGTCAAGAATGTATTCATCATTGGCCACTCACTGGGTGGGCCTATTGCTATCGAACTCTGTGAAAAGATCATTCGTGAAAATCGGGACATCACTTTAAATGGTTTGATATATGAAGTAAGTATCTCGGAATCAATCCTTTACTGATCTCGTTTCGGAAGGAGGGCAACATCAACGAAGATGATTGTTTTGGCTCAAAAAAGATTCTTGAAAAAGGCTGTCCTAAAGTTAGCCCTCATTCCGACGAAAAAGAAGCGATGGACTTTGCAATGTGAGTAAGAATCATGCTGGAAAAGAAGCCAAGCATAATTTTGTCAATTAAAGGTGATTCCATTTATCAGGTATGCAAGCTCCAAAGATTTAGTGGAGATATCCTGCTCAGGGGAACTTTTGCCCAGAATAAAGGCTCTGAAGGTAAACAATGGGAGAAACACGAGCTGTGCGTGATCAACATTCTGATGCCTTGTGTTCAAAGGATGGGGGATTACCAATGATGGTGATGTATGGGGAGAAGAACTTTGGCAGATTTTCTTCTGCAACTCTGCTAGAACAGAGCGTAAGAGTCGTGCAGCTTGCACGTGCATCATTCCTGAAGCTTGAACGCGGGCAGGGATTCAAGATCGTGTGGGTTGCGAAAGGCGGGCATTCCATGCACAAAGACGAAGGTATCAAGTTGTACTTGAATGTCGGAACCTTGTTACATGGCTGCCTTTAGGATCTGGAGCATTTTGGGCTAAGGTTGAAGATTTTATCCTCAGCAATATTTCGAGAAATCAATGACAGCATCGATGTTCAGGGCTCCATATCCTGATCCATTGTACACATTCACTTTGTCCCTCACAACTCGCTTTGAATTTTGAACCCCTCACAACTGAACTCTTGTTCCAACCAGAGCTCGATTACTTGCCTTTTGTGACGATATCAACCACCTGCTCATGCTCGTGAGATCCATGGTCAAGTTAGCAATCGGTGCGGACCTCTGGCGGCATGTCGACAAACTGTTGCAGTTCTCTGCTGTGCAGGAGAACAGGGCGTTTCAAACAATCATTGATGTAGGTCAGCAAAATCTTGTGCCTCTCTAGGATTAACTCTGGGTCAGCCAACCCAAACCACTTCTTCGGCGGCAACCCGACAGGGGGAAGTCCAAATTTGTCGTTCAGCTGTGAACGTGTCAATCATGCGATAATGCACAGGGAGAGTGAAGATACCCTATTGTCTAGCTTGTCAAAGTCAGAGAATCGCTTGCTTATCTCCCACTTGTGCTTTCCGAAACCGATCGTAAACTTGTATACTGTGTATTCTGTTGATAGCATGTCCATCATCCATTTTCCCGGCTTCTGTTCAGTTCCGGCTATTTGTGCCTTGAACTGCTTGGGAGGTTCGGACTTTGCGTCATCTTGCCCTTCAAGCTCTATGATCTGCCCTTGACTACCGAGCATCTGCTTCTTCTTGGATCCGAAATCGAAGTCTTCATCTCGAAACTGAGGTTTGGCGTCCTCTTTCCTCAGGTCAGGGTTTCGCATCTTTGCCGAGACAGCGTCCTATCTCAACTGAGCAGCAAGAGGAGAGGTGAGCGTCTGTACTGGGGAGCGAGAGGGTCCAAGGGGAGCAGCCGACGTCTGGAGGAGGGACGAGGTCGAGCAGAATGCTGCCTCGCCTTGACGGACGTGGATGGCGCCGATGGGACGCGATCTCGAGGGGTGGGGTAGTACAAGGATGCGTTGAATATAGGGTACTTTAATAGTCAAATGAGGGGGTACTTAAGGAAAAAGGGGGGGTAGAGAAAAATATCATGGAGAGTACCCTACCACCTTAGCACTATCCATAGCAACGAGGGGGTGGGGTGAGTGTAGATTACATTGATTGACTAAAAACATTTTGAGCTATTTCGAGGAAATCTTTGAGATCTTTGCCCTCGTCCCCGCTCATACATTAAGCCTTTGGTCAACTCGGCGGCCGGGTCAACTCAGGGTTCAACTTGCCAACAGCCGAGAAAATCCTCTCGGCTGTTGAGCATTACCAAAATCGGGATATGAAGAAAGCTCGACAGGCGCTTGTGGGCCATGGCCTCTCCCCAGATCCATTTGAGCAGCTATGGCAGCAAACTCGTGAGAAATTTCCGACGAGACTGGACCCCATTCCTCCAACGCTCCTAGACGCAGTCGGCTCCTCAAGGCAAATGCTAAGTGCTCAGCTCGACGATGCCATCGCCGATGAACCGGCCTCATTGCTTGACAAGATTTTAGATCAGCGAGAGGTAGGGAAATTCCTGCGGCGATTCACTGCTTCCTCGGCCCCTGATCAATTTGGTTGGCGACCATTCCAGCACCTGCGACACATTCTCAGACTGCATGATGATCACAAACAGCGATACATTAACCTCATATTGAAGCCGATCGCGCTGGGAATCCCTTCGGGCGCTTTCCTCGAGGAATACACCAGAGGGGGGCGATTCATTCCTGCTGCCAAGTCAGTGGAAAAGAGCGGAATCCGAATGCCGTTCTCAGTACCCTCATCAAAGATTCCGGAGTGAGATGCCGCGTCCACGTGCAAGGCGTACCCGGCACCAGGCAGAACGTTTCCCAGCATGGCCCTGAAGATCATCATGTAGGGGACTTTGAACTTCCACAACTGATGGCTACTGGCGGCGGATGGCATGGGTTAATCCTGGACTTCAGCATGTCACATGTTTTTGACAATGATGGAATACCGGACCTCGCTCGGAGCAAACTGCAAGCGGCAGCACAGCGGAAGATCCGAGGGCATCGTAATGCATATGCTCAGCACGTCCCGCCAAAGGCCTTTCTTCCCATCATCGCCAGCACTGATGGCCTCTTGCAGGACGATGCGTTGCGCTTTCTGTGGTGGCTGGCGGATCGCTCGGCGAACAAGGAAACGGCAGCGCTGGATGGTCTCTCGGCCTCGCAAGACGTCTCAGGTGATCCGACTTGCAAACGCATTCGGTCCAGGATCTTTCGTCAGCTCAAGGCCTCCCTGTCCTACGCTGCCATCATCGCGGGTGCATCCCGGTATGCGTCTCATTCCTTCGGCGGCGGCCACCGCGACATCGCTGGCATGGCCGCGCGGGGGACTTGTCCTGCGCGCCGTTAAGTGAAGGTATCAGTTAAGTTTGGGGGACAGCAGTCGGCAGGATTGGGTTTGGTTCTCGCTGTCTTTTCTCTTCTCGCCGTTTGGCCTGTGCGACAGTGTCAGGGTCAAGCCTCCTCGACTCTCCTGATTGTCCTCGTACTGATTTTTAACTTAACTTTGAGTAAAGTGCCAACGTTTCGGAGTCGACGGTCTTCCACTGAGAGGGTTCTTCCCGACGGGCCGCTTGGACTCCGTGCACTGCAGTGACCGGCGATTCCGGCGCCGAACGCCACCGGCCGGTCCCCGGGGGGAGGGCGGCCCGGCCCGGCCCGGCCCGGCCCGGCCCGGCCCGGCGTGCCGCAGTGCCGTGCGCCCACTGCGCCCGCGTGAATGTGACCGTACAGTCACAGTGCAATAATTGAATGCACCGGCAGGATCGGGGGGGGAGGACGGCGCCGGCGCCCCGCTGCCAATGCAGCGTAAACTTGACTTGTGATCCGACCGGACATTCCGCAGTGCGGCGATATTGAAGTCACGCTTGAGAATGCGGGGTAGCGGTCACACCCGGACTCCAGTCAACTGCCCGCCGTCCAAGGTTAAGTGTACATGCGACTTTATCGTACAAAAGTAGATTACAGACGTTATCACTGACTGAGCAGGTGAGGAGCGTCTGCTTGCTGGCAGATCCTCTTGAGATGGCCGTAGATGGCAGAGGCTCTTCCTTCCAAGACGCGGCTGAGGGCCTCTAGGGCAGAGAGACCGACCTGGACAAGGAGGATCACAACGTGTGGGGAGGCGAGAGCACAAGGTTCACGTCGAGGTTCTCCTTGATCTGAGAGGTTTCCAGCCGTGTCTGCGGAGCCTCGGGATGCGCGAGCCGGAGGATCTGAGGCTGGCATGAGGACTCGAGAGAGCAGCTGCTCTGACGCACCTGAGCGAGGTGGAGGGCGTTGTTCCTCCCTCTCTCGAGGTCCTTGGCGTCCTTGGCAAACATGAGCATGTCGGTGACCTTGGTCTCGGCCTTCTTCTTCAGGGTCGCCTGCAGCTGCCAGACTGCGTCAGGGGGGAGAGCGAGCATGAGAGAGCGAGAGAGACTTGCCTTCTGGTCCCAGATCAGCGCGATGTCTTGGAACTGGCCGATCATGGACGATACTTGCAAGCCGTCGAGGATGTCACACCTGCAGCTCCTCGTGAGGGCGGGGGAGGACCTCCGCGAGCTCACTTTGACAGGAAAGTCTCGCAGTCCTTGGTCGACTTCTTCTTCAGCATCTTGGAAACTTCCTTCCCCACAATCTTCCGTACCATCACAACCCCAGCAGTGCGCGAGCGGGCGCGTCACCTGCGCCGCGTTGTCCGGGAGGGAGCTCAAGTAGTTCTGCGGAACGAGGGGAGTCAAGCCGTAGAGGAGGCAAGGGCACGGCGAGTTCACCGTTGGGACCTTCATCCGAGAAATCACATCGACGTTCATCTCTCGCGCCTGCACGAGGATGGAAACTGAGACGATGAGACCTCCACGTGTGCAGGAAAAAGTTTTTAACAGCAACCAGGAGGCTGCGGCTGCCTGCTCACCCCCCCCTTCCTCACCTTGGATAGGATTTCGTTGGTCTGGTAGATACACGAGCGAAGGCTCTCAGCCAGATGGGACGCAAGTGGTTTGGGGACGACGGGGGTGTCGACCCACCATTGGTCGCTGCCAGTTGCAGTTGTCTGCCGGATGATGTCACTTCCTCCTCCTTCGCCGCTGGCAAACACACCTGTTGGCCCGGCTGACTCTTCTTCCACGAGATCTTGATGTCCTCCTCGCAGAATCTCGACATGATCTTGCACCGATACAGTGAGGAGAGCGCGTGCAAGGGGAGGAGACGCGTGAGAGATGGATCAGAGATGGTCAGGAGAGAAGGGAGAGGGAGACGAAGGAGCCAAAAGCCAGACCTCGAACAAAGTGGAGTCACATGCAAGGAGCTGAGGGAGCATGGTGCGAATGTCCTTCCTGACTTGCTGCTGCATCACTTCCACGCTCGAGCCATCCGGAAGGATCTGCGGAGGGAAGCGGTCACAAGTCCTCGCTCGTACCTCCTGTCCTCACCTTCACTACAGGCTCGAGCACGACGATCTGTTGAACCGGGAGCAGCAGCCACTCGATCTCCTTCTTCCACTTGGTTTCCACCGCCTTCCCTACAGGCTGTCCACGAAGCGTCAGCTCACCCTGCGAGCATTCCTGCCGGCGACCTGCAGGCGGTTGAGCTGGCCAAACGTCGCAGAGGCCAAGTTGGTGATGGCGAGCGAGATCGTGAGGGCCGGGCTGTCACCGTTGGTCCCTCCCGAGAAATCATTTCCGAGGACGATTTTGGACATGAACGCCTGCAAGTGGAAGTGAGGGAATACAAGATGGTTGAGAGGCACAAAAGGAGAGACGGTAGGAATGAGTATGAGACGAAGGAATAAGGACGGGAAGGTTTGTGGTGGGGGTGGTGGTGGGTAGAGGCCGGTCAGAGGGAAGATTATATGAATGAATATCTGCTGTGAAGACCTTTAGATCTGTCAGCTCCTTGTACGCATGTGAGATATCCTCTTCGTCCGGTTGTCCCAGGATCGCAAGCGACTTCCGCGCGATCTCCTCACTCACACCTCCGAGCTCGCACTCCTCCTTCTTTTCATTCCCCGGGTGCTCCCACTGCACTTCCCCTGTGTCCATGTTGTGATAGTACTCAAAACCGCTGTCATCGTCGATCAGGATCTCCCAGCCCTTGGAGGATAGTCAGCTCAGCAGGCGGCAGCAGCAGACTTACTTCAGGAAGCGGCTTCACTTCGGCGAGCGGAGGATGCGAAGTTTCGTCTCCCAGATGGATTCCCAGCTCGTCATCGCCGACGTTCGAGTCGGTGTGTGGCGTCATCAGGGAGAACGCAGCCGGCGCTTCCTCCTCATCCGCCTTCTCATCCGCCTCCTCATCAGTCTCATCGCTGGACGATGAGGTCTCCTCCTCGACACTGGTCTCGGTGTGGGCTTGCTGCGTCAGCGATCAGATCGACCCTTGTGAACACCCAGCTGCTCACGTACCCACAGATTTTCTTCGAGCGCACGCTCTTCGCTCTCCCCCTCCTCCTCCTCCTCCTCCTCCTCATAGGGTATGATGATTCCTCCAGGAGGTAGCTCCCAAACCGATTCCTCGGTAACGGGACTGAAATAATAGACTTGTTGTGTGTCATCATCGACGAACTGGTACCATTTCGATTCTTCCACCCCCTCTCCAACTCCTACAAAGCAACAGTCAGAAACTGGCTGAGTATCAGCTGTGGAAATATGCTGCAAGGCATGAGTACCTGCTTCGACGGCAGATGTATCCTCCTTAGCTTCTGCTTCAGGCGACCGGATGTCAAGCAAATCAGGAGCAGTCGGCTCCTGTGACTGGTCTGCTTCACTCGATTGTCGATGCCCCTCAGAGCTGTCAACGGTGCCTTGCAAGGTTGATTCCACTTCGCTCACAACTCCAGCTACCACTCCAGCAGGAGACTTAGGCATTTCTTGTTGACTCACAATCTTCGATTCTGGTACGTTGATATTTTGCTCGACATTTGACGCTGGTTTAGATTCGGCCGCCTTCTCAGATTCTTGGTCTAACTTTGTATAAAATTCCTGCAGCTCCCTCGCTACTTTCTCATCGTTTCTCAATAGACTTTCTCTCGAAACTTCGTTGAAACCACTTTCAAAGACCATGGATTCTTCGTCATGACTAACAGCGTCATGTTTCAACGGAACGTCCTTGACCGCAGGGCGCTTCCCCTCCTTCCCCTCTGAATTCGTCTTTGTGCCCTTGTTGGGACCAACAAGAGTCGACTCGAATTGTTCAACTTTGTGCAGCTTTTCCGCTACTATCGTCGAGTTCTCAGTCGAGGTCTGCGCTGATTCCTTCGATCCGTCCTTGGAAGGGTGTGAAGTCTTGCTCCACAGCTCTGGCGGTGATCCAGCTGGTTTCGGAGCTTTCGACATATACCGAGCGCTTACTCTGTTCTTTGCCTTTGATGCCAGATCGCGTCTCTGTGTCAGAGCAAGCTGCTTCGACAAGATCGTCGAGGCTCGTATAGAAAACTTCTTCGCCAATTCGTCGACATCGGATTTGTCCTGTGCTGGGAGCTTCTGGGCCAACACGGTCTTGGCGAGTTGGACAGAGACGCGTGAAGAGGACATCTGATCTCCATCCCCGTTTCCTCTCTCGGCAGGCAACGCCTGTAAGGCGCCTGTCTTGGTCGCCATCTTGTGGGTCATGGTCGGCTGGAAGGCACGCTCCCTCGTCGGGTAGCGAGACAGACAAATCTCTTGCATCGCCCAGTTCAACCTCTTGCGGAGAATGGTGATCCTCACCATCGTTCCCACAGGGCCCAGCAGCAGCTTCCGGATGTCGGACAAGGACATGTTTGCGACGTCCTTGCCATCCACCTTGAGAAAGCAATCCCCGACGTCGATCGTTCCTACCGCATCCGCTGCACTTCCCTCCTTGACGGAGACGACCGTGCACCCAAACTTGCTCCTGACAAACTCGATCCCGATCCCGCAGTAAGGCACCTCCTTCGTGGCCTCTCGGATCGGCTTGTTCCGTGCCATTGAGTTCCGGGACGTATCGACAGGCAGTCCTCGTATGACTGTAGCTTGCGTAACGGTTGACGCAACGGGGATACGCGTGTTCGAGGCTGTATGGGTTATAGTCCTATTGTGTGTGACCGTCGCTTCTCGTGTCGGTGCACTTGGCTGCTGCCTTGAAAGGCTGGACTGAAGGCTTCGCGCTGAGGTAGAAGATTGAACGGTGGAAGAGTCGCCCATCGACGGCATGACGAACCCCCCACGGGTCAGCTCGACATTGATCTTCTCACCATTTCGAATGAGGACAAGTCTGCACTTGGACTTGGGCATCCCCATGATCTTCTTCTTCACGTACTCGAGCGTGGTGGTCTTGTTGAAGACGTGCACTTTCTTGTTGGTGAGGGAGTAGATGATGTCTCCCTCCCTCACTTTCCTGCTCGCATCCGCCGGACCTCCTGGTGCTAGTCCTCGGATCACGATGTTCCCGTGCCCATCGCGCTCTACCTTCATCCCCAGCCCACATACCTTCACCTCCCCGCCGCTCGCCATATCCAACTGGCACTGGCTAGCTGTAGAAGACCTTTCGTCCTGCCCCTCATCCCCCGATCTGCCCTATGGTCTAAGGGGGGATGCGGGTCTCCACCAAGGATGGGGAGTGAGGGGGGATGAGGATCACAATACATACAAGGACCATGGTGGCGGCCGTAAGGGTAGTGGTGATGGTGGTGGCAGCAGTTGCGGTGGGAGGAGGACAGGGAGTGAGCGGCTTCTCGATGCAACCGGCAATGTCGCTCGGATCTGCTCGGCACCTCTCCTCCTCTCCTCGATCTCTTCCTGTTTCGCTCGCACGGGAGTCGTCGGCTTTCCGCTTGAGGATGCAGGAGAGGACCGGGGGGGATACCAGGAGCGCAGAGAGTCGTGTCAGCATGCCCTCCACGGTTGTGATCGCATCGATCTTGACGGCATTCCCCCTCGCCGCTTCTGCGGCTGCACCGGAGTGGCTCGAGCCAACCAGGTCATCGTTGGACATCGGTCTCGCGCTGTTCTCGCTCCTCTTCTTCCTTCGAATCCCTCTCACGTGGTACCCGCAAATGGATCTCAACCAGTTTCCTCAGAACATCGTTGCCTGGTATGCACACATGTCGTTTTGTTTGTTCTCTCCTCTCGCATGCCGTCTTGTGTGATCGCCTCGCTATCTGGAAACTCTACCTTTTCCTCATCCATACGTTGTCTCAGGCCGACAGAACCCTTCTGCAAGCTTGTTCGGCTGGCAGTTCCGCCTCTCTTTGGTGTTGACATCAGTCCTGTGAGAAAATGCTCTGTGTCTTACAAGTCACTGATTCTGTCTCGAAAGATTGTTCTCTATGGCGTCCTGAGTTTCATCCGTGAAATTTTCCTCGGACAGCAGGGGGTTCTGACTATGATTGCAAATAAATGAGGGTAGGGTTAGCCATGATACGTGACGTCACAGTCATCGCTTGATAGTTGTTGTTTACAACATAGGCACAGTACATTCGCATAGTCTCAAACTTTAAAAAAACGTCGTGACCGCAATGCCGCTGCGAGCAGCTTTGAGCCTGCATGGAGGGCAACCGAAGAGGAGGAGTGGTATGACCGAGACGGCATACGCGAATGAATGCTGCCACAACAACTGCAGTCAGAAAACAAACAAACAGAAGGGACGAGAAGGGCACAACAGAGCACAACAGACTAGTGAACTCACGCTTGCTTCCCAAAATTGATCGTCGTGCCTGCAAGAGTTCCGGGTGAGTAGTCGATATACGCAGCTCGTGTGTACTCACGGAACGGAGAGACGGGGACTCGCTCGTACGACCTCCTCCCATGCTTGTCCACCTGGCATATCCTCATGATCTTCACGAATCTCGAACTCAGGTCCTCACCTTAGTCAGCCTGTAGGTTCCAGGAAAGAGCTCCGAAGGGTCTCCCTCGGGCGACCAGTCGAACTTCCCGTACTTTGTCTCCCTGCAGCAGCGTGAAACACTGAAAAGGAAAGAGGAGGAGAAGTAGGGGAGGGGAGGAAAAGCAGGGAGAGGAAGAGGATGGGGAGAGTTGGGGAGGACAGGATGAGGCGGCAGGGAGCGGACGCACCTGTCCTTGAGGGTCTCGGTGAATTCTTGCGGGGACACAAATTTCCTCTCCTTCAGCCTCTCCTCCAAGTTCCTGCGGCAGATGGGGTCAGCCAGTCCCCTCCTCTCCCCGCCTGAACCTACGCTGCCTGCGCGATGTGGCCGGTGGCTCCTGCCACTTGGATGCTGTAGAGCGTGGCGGCCAGACCGGAGCCATAGCTGAACATGAGGACACGCTTGCCCTTGGCCTGCTCTTCCGTGTCCACTTGCGCCCCAGCCTTGGGCTTGTGCCAGTTGTGGATGAGGGAGAGGAGGCCTGTGTACATGGAGGCCGTGTAGGAGTTGCCGAGCTCCTTTTCACTCAAGAGTCAGCGGAGCCTCGAGGAGCAGGCGGAGAAAACCTGAGGGAGCAGGACGGACGGTTCGACCTTGGCAGCGTACCTAAGAGGAGGGAATGAGCAGGTGTGCAGGCTCAGAGACGGGGGGAAGGGGAATCACATGGGTCGGGCAAGCTCGATGAAGGTCTTCTCAAGCTCCTTGTTGTCATAAGTGTTCTCTGGGAGCAGCTTCTTGAAAGGCTCGAGATCCTTCTCTGCTCAGCCAGTCAGTGACTATCTCCTCCAGCTCCTCTTCTCGCCGTTCTTCTTGAAGATTGGAAGGTCGGGGTTTCGGAGGAAGTCGTTGTAGAGCATGCGGGCCCCCGACTTCTTGACGAGCTTGTTGTACGGGGAGTGAAGCACCTTGGAGGGTGACATAAGTTGACAAGAGTCGACAAGGTAACTGAACAAGGAAGAACGGGAAGGAGCACGTGCAGGAAGGAGGGCACGAAGAACTTGTGGCGGAGATGAGGACAGGGAACAGACGAGGGACTGAGACTGACCACTGAGTCAACTTGTCCCAAGTTGAAAGGAGTCTTGTTGGCGCTCTCGTACTTCAATGCGAACCTTCGATAACAACCTGAGCAGTATGGGATGAGCAGGAGCGAGACGGGCTGAAATGAAAGTGTGTTGGAGACACAAACTTCTTGTCTGTCGCAGAGGGGGAGGGAAACGAAGAGATGACAGGTTTCAGACATGGAAGCAACACCAAACACACAGCGTGCAGAAAGGCAAGTGCAAATACCATCGAGAGCGCGCAAGTAGCATACGTTGCTCTCCTGTCCAAACACAGTGGGGTACCTACACCACACGTCAGGCTCGATTCCTCAGCAACAGCGCTCATCTCATACTCGCTGTCCAACTTGGGCTTGTAGAAGTCGTAAGCGTCTTCCATGTGGCTGGCACGGATCGACCCCATGGCAAGAGGAGCATCGCGCCCGATGAGCATGGCGACTGCCGCACACCCGCCTGTCGGACGAGCCGGACCTTCCTCGTACACTGCAATGTCTCCACAAACAACCAGGCCGTAGCTGGGAGGAGGAGCGACGAGGAGAGCAGGAGAAGGGGAGAAGGAAAGCGAGAGTCAGCTCAAGACAGGATGGCATGGGGAAGCAAACGATGAATACCGTCCATCCCATGCAGAACTCTCAACCCAGGAGCTGTCAAAGGAAACAAGTCAGAAAATGTACACGGCACAAAAACGGGCAACTACATGGTATTCAGCAAGGCAGCCGTTCCTCCATAGCAAGCGTTGATGTTGTCAACTCCTTCGAGGTCAAAGTTCCCATGGGAGTTGAACAGCTGGCACCTGCAGGCCCCCTTGTCAGCCCTAACGCAGAGGGTGAAGGCAAGAGCGATCACAGGCTGGTCTTGACGGACTTTGACTTGTCAATGAGAGTCTCTGTGCCAACTTCCAGCCTCCCGATGTCAGTCGGAGCGATGTTGTACTTCTCGAGCAAGTTCTGCGCGCCTTTGAGGTCCATCACCCCGCAACCATATTGGCGACGTACCGCAACGGCTGTCATGCAAACGGAGTTGATGTCCTCCAGATCGTTGCAGAAGGCCATGTTTTGTTGTCTGTGCGCATATCGTGAGACCGTCCTCGATCAAGGTCAGCATGACAGACCCCAGGCCGATGGTGAACTTCCCTTCCTTCTCACCCATGAATCTGCCGCACGAGTCAACGCGTGTATGCCCCTGACTCGACTCACTTCTCCAGCTCAGATTGCCGCACGGCAGTTCGGGGGAAGTAAATCTCCATGCCGATAATGCCGACCATCTGACGTGAGGGCAAGGGCTCAACGGGGGTACCTCGAGGTACTCACTCAGTACCTTGGAAGATTCGGCAGTGACGAAGGCCTCCGGATCATCTCTTGGGATGGTCATGTTGCTGAAGAGCAAGGTCATCTCTTGGAGAAGATGTAGGTGTCTCGATCAAAGCTCGAGATCTCTTACAGCCAGACATTCTCTTGCTTTTTGATCTAGTTCTAGCTCATTTAAAAAATTGCTGTAGCGAAGAAACTGCATGACTTGTTTCTAGCTTCACGGATTCGCTGAGCGTTTCCACTCTGAAAATCGTTCTTCTTGACTCTTTGCAACAGCAAACTCGATCCATGACATTGATATCTTTTTCGCTGCGCACCTGCTTCCCTTTCCTTCCTTCACGCCTTCCCACCATTCCCCTCTGTTTGCCCGTCCCCACTTCCCACCTTACCTCATCCCCCTTCTCTCTCCTGCTTCGTTCCTTCTTCGTGCGCATCCATTGGCTCGTCATCGTTCCTCCCCCTCCCCCTCCTCCTTCCCCTCCCCCTGCTCCGTCCCCTTCCTCCTCTTCTGTGCCATGAAAGCGCGTGCTACGCATAAGGGGACCTCGTTACCACCCCCCGTTGATGTCCTCCCATTTCACCCTACATTCATACCATGTACCCCTTTTTTGATAGTCGAATATACCCCTCCCATACACCCCTACCCCATCATAGATAAACCCCCATGAATCATCCCCCTCATTATCACTCGGACTGTAGTAGTCTCATCTGAGACTCCTACTAGGCTACCGTGTACCCGGCCCGGGCCGCGCCGTGGCCGGAGTCCGCCGGGCGGCCCGTGCGGCGCCGTGCGGCGGCAAGTGTGACTCCCAGTGTCTGACTCCGCTCCGTGACTGCTGCACTGAGGCTGCCGGCCAGGACGCCGCGGCGCCCACGGCATGCGCGGCGGGCCGCGCGGCGGGCGGGCCCGGGCCGGGGAGCTGCCCGGGGAGCCTGAGCCCGGGGGTCAAATGGTCTGCCGACAATCGCGGTCCAGACGTGTGTGGAGGTCGCAGTATGGAGATAGAGGAGGCGACAGAAAGTGAGGAGAGGGAGGAGGGGGGAGGAAGAGGGAGGAGGGGGGCAGAAGGGGGAGGAGGGAGGAGGGGAGATGAGACAGAGAGGAGGGCGCACTCTGTTAGGAGCCGAGACTCGGATTTGGAAGCTGGGAGGCGATCGCGAGCCACCACGCGTGCATCGGACGACGGAGGGAGCTTCTTCTCCTTGGGGAGGAGGGACGACGGGAGGTCGAACTTCTCCTCTATGGTCGATGAGCCGCCTCTGACTCTCTGCCTGTAGGATAAACGCGATCGCGTTGATGTCCGGTGGGTAAATGAGACATTGTGGACTGGAGCTCATGCCATGCCAGGGCTGATCTTGTTGATCGTGTCGATATCGCTGGCAGCATACAACGAAGTCAGGAACTTCGAAGCTCTCAGGGCTCTTTTTATAGCCCAGGTATGAGGCGACTAGCTGCGAGCGCTCCCGTGTGAAGCAGGGCCGGTCGTTCCCTCTCATCTATGCATGGCAGTCTGCGGCAGTGGAATCAAGTTGTCTACCATCGAAGGAGAACGTCGGGAAACTGCTTCACACGTACGTTACGATCCCCTCTGATGATGCTCGTCTTGCGATCGTTGAAGCCTACGAGCATCTTGCTCTCGCACCAGTGCATGAGTTGCGCCCCAGGACCTGCTACCTTTCCAACTTCTCAGCCTTTGGGAACCAGCCGGGATTGCGCCTGCTCCCTGACAACGACGTGACGGGAATCAGAATCGAGAGATTGGTGGAGGTGACATAGAATCTCGGAGGCTCTCGGACAGTTCTGACTGGAATCCTCACAGATGTATCAATGGGTAGAGACCATCACGACAAAGTCGAGGGCTGACTACGTCCATGGCGGAACGATGACATTCGATGTACGGAAAGCGTCTGAGACATGCTATCTTTGCCCATCCCCTCTGCTCCCCATTCCGTCAAGTGAGTGTGGATCGCAGGAGTATCGATACAAGAAAGTGTGGTCTGCGCAGGTTGGTGACACGAGAGCCCGGTTCCTCAAAGTTGCTTACTTGATTGGCATTCTTACCTCACAGCTGGTTGACGACTCTTCCTTCGTCCGGTCTGCCTTGCGCTCTCGTCCTTCTCCTAGCTCACTTGCAAACCAGCCCGACGAGCTGTGCCATCAAGTACAACAACGGCCTTCCCTGCACGAATCCAGATCCCACGCAACAGAGGTAAGATGAGGTGTGGTGGGAAGAAGATTGACGGAGAAGCGAAGCTGGTGGAGGGATGGGCCGCAGAAAATGGGGCTGAACGAAGTGGGACGAGCGACGAACCTCCGATTCGGTTTTTCGTTGTATTGAAACCCGAAGGCTGCTAGCGTGACTGCATGAATGACAGGAGGATTCAGATTGAACCAGGAGCTGATCAACCTGGTGCTTCCTCCTCCTCTTTCCTCCCGCGTTATCTTATCCTTGTCTCCTCCACCAGGCTGGAGAGCCTCAAGTCCCAAGGCCGATCTGCGATACGCCGAGTGTGACAGAGAAATCGTCGAGGGGGGAGAAGCAGGTCAAGAGCGAAGTGTGCGGCAAGGACGTGCGGATCAACGGGATTTACATGCACTTCTTGAACCTGGTCAACCGGAGTGTGGCGAACTCTCAGGATGCTGTAGGTAATGCGGGGCGAGTAAGTCTTGCGCTCGTCGTTGGATGAAAGGAGCGGCAGGAGACGTTCGGCTGTCGTACGTGGTGTATAAGACGGACTTTGCTTCAGTGTTGGCTATGCAGAATGGCAATTCGAGGTTCGCAGCGATACTATTGCCCTTGTGTTACCTTCCACTGATCCTTGCTACGAATGTTCCTGTCCCCATCTCCTTCTCTGTTGACCTGCTGTCCTCAACTCTCTTGTCTACCTTCTCTCCTGGCATTGCGTGCAGCTTCGGTCCATGGAGAATTCCCAACACGAACCCGGAAGAAGTTCTGTATCTCTTAGAGAACGGAGAGCGGACGATGGACCAGGTCTGTCAAGGTCACTGAGACCGACCGGTGAGATTTGCGCAGATGATCCTGGATGCTGTATTGTCCGACACGACTCAGATATGGTGAGGAGCAGGAGGTAGAGGTCAGACGGCTTGTCACCCCACCTGCCCAGGTTCACTCGCGCCCTTACCTTCTTCCTCGCTGTCATCGGGATGGTCACGACCCTCAGCCAAGTCATCCCCTACTTGTCGGTGACCAACAGGTCGAGCTGGTGGGTCTACCTCCTTCCTCCTTCCTCTCTCGTGACTCAACCGCGCATTGTCTTGCAGCTGTCTCCATCTCTTCGGCCCCAACGGGGAGGCGATAGGGTGCATGAGGTAGGACGCGAAGGGCGTGGAGGGAGAGGAACGTATGAGCCTGCAACGCAGCTTCTTCCTTGCAACATCATGCTGGCTCCTCACAGGTTCCCCCTCCTCTACTCCCATCTTCTCTCCGCGCTCTAACCCTGTTGTTGTAAGTTGGAGTATGCTGGCTTGTTGTCAAGACTTCTGTCGGCATCCCCATTGTCGCAGTTTCGTCGGGCATCCTCTTCCTTACCATCACCACCCACTACAAGTCAGCTCAGCGCCCTCCTTGTTCTTGCTGTGTCAGTGACTACCATGCAGCTTGGATCAGCTCGAGGACACGCTGCCGGATGCAGGATCGCAGGCAGAGGAGCGATCACAGACGATGGTCACTCCCCTCCTGCAAGCAGAGGTTTCCAGCCGAACCACCACGGCGAGCACGAGTGAGTCGCATGGCTGTATGAGGGTAATGCTGATGTTTGAGTGCGCAGACTGTGGGAGGAGCTCGTTTCACGAGGACCTGTAGCTTCCTCGCCCTCCTCCGTGCCTGCCAGGGATCCGTTGCTTCTTTCCTTTCCTTCATTGTACACTACAGCCCGTAAACCTCTTGGCTCAATTTCCCTTTCATCCTTTTCTTCCACTCTATCTCTATGTCGTTCTCGATGGACCCCCGAGCCCTTGCCTGCTCTGCCTCGTCAGTCGTCAACGTCGTCGTTCACCGATGCTCTTACCTCGTGCTTGACCACAGCGTTCGCCTCTCCTCGCGTGCGGATGATGCGAGTGCAGACGGTGGAAGGGAGGGTGGCGATGTACTTGGCGCTGGCGTTGACGAGATCATCTGCCATTCTCATCTCAGACACGGGCATGTTCGCAGCATTGATCGCGACGTGTGTTTAGTGTAAGGAAGCCGTTGCGGAAGACGCAGTGAAGGGAAACTTCCGAGCAGTTAACGGACTCGATGGCTCCGTCGATGTTGTCAGGACTAAACAATCACAATCATGAGAATGGCGGAAGAGGGAAGGAGTAGAAAGAGGAAAGAGGAGAAGAAAAAGACAGAAACAGGGATGGAAATATGCCGATGAAGTACTGGAAGACACTGAGCGATGTTTGGGAATCAAGTCAAGGGTGTTGTAAGAGGGCAGGGAGATACTGATGACAAGGAATGAAATGCCGTCAACGAAGAGAGAGAGAGGGAGAAAAGAAAGGACTGGGATGTCACCAGAAAGTCAAACTTGCTCCTCGGATGTTCCTCAACAGAAAGCCTGGCAGCTGGAAAGAGGCCGTAATGAGGGGTGTAAGACACCTCCCCACGCGCTCACCTCCGCGCCGATCACTAGATCGATATTAGAGCACTCCACAGCTGCTCCTGAAAACAAGATGGCCTCGACGAGGACCCGGATTCCCGTGCAGTTCTCTGCCATGACAGCAGCTTGTCAGAACTTCTGACGTGTGGTAAGCCAAGACTCGACTCACCGACGTACAAGTTGCTAGTCAAGCCATCGACTTTGATGTTCAGTGTTCCATCCACCCCCCTGTCATTGCTTGAATCTCTCTTGCCACCAATCGGCAAGCTCATCGCACCTGCAGTTTCGAATGTGCACGTTCTCTTTCGTCTTACAGTCGATTTTGATCAAGTTGGACCCAGCATAGTTCTCCTGCGTTCCTTGTCATGGCTGGCTCATAGTGAGATAGAACAGCAAGACTGACCACAATGAACTTTCCGTTCTCTTGAATGGTTCTTGGAGATCCAGCTGTATGCGTGAAGACAACCTCGCCCATGTTGTTGCGGATAGCACGACAGTACTCCGATCGCTTCTGACGGATTTGCGATAAGAGAGCAATGTTCTGTTGCTGAAGTCTGACGAATTCCTCAATTTCTTCCATGGATGCTGTAGGGAAACGCTTCTGGACATCTTGAACCGTGAGCTCGGCAATCAGCGGGCCGCGCGATGGCGTTGCGGCTGAACTTCGAGGGTCGAACAAAACCGGAGGGTCCCAGTCGATGTCCCTAACAGGCCTGTGCAGAGCGTCAAGATGTTTAATGTCCTGAGGTCAGACAGAAATCTGATCTCATAGCTTGTGAGGGTCAGATACAACTCCCCGACAACTCCCCGACAACCTGCCCCCTGATCTTCGTCCCTCACCGTCCCATCTGATCTTCTTACCTTGAGATGTTAGCGGAGAGGACATCTGCCGCAACAGTACTGTTGAACATCCTCCCTCGTTCGGGCTTCAGGCTCCTATACCCTCCGCCTGCTTCCTCCCTTGTTCTCCAAGCTTCCGCCATACTTTCGTCGCCCCTTCGACCGCAATGGTCCTTAGCGGGGAGGAGGTCATAGCTCTGGCATTCCGGGAAGTTCCGCCGGGCGGCCGCCGGCGCCCCGGCGGTGAACTGAGCTCGGAAGGACTCCTCCTGCAGAAGGGGGCTCTTCCCCGCTCCTCTTGGAGGCTCCCCGGTCACTTGCCGCATCGAGCCCGATCGCCCGGTGCTATCCCTGGAATCATGAGTCTTCAGTAACGTTCGCCGGGACTCCGAGGCACAGGCCCGGCCGCCCCGCCTCAAGCCCCGGCCCCGGCGGGCGCCGCGGCGGCGCCCAAGTCGCGCCGGGCCGCCGGCACTGGGCATGAAATAGGCCGCTAGCTTCTGGCAAACTGTCCTAAGCGAATCCCGGCGCCGGTACGGTATCTCCTCGGCGGCCCGGGGACTACCCTTCCTACTGAGTCAGCCGGGCTCAAGCACTGCGGCATATCGAAGAACCAACTTGGCAGCCTCGAACAAGGCGGAAAGTGATCTCTTGGTGCCACGGTCCCAGGCAGCGGGGAAAGGGCGGCCGTTTCATGCCAAGGTCGTGAGCTCGCGGTTGCAAGGGTACTTGCGATATGATAAAAAGATTTCGATATAATAACGCATAAGAATCACCGTCGCGGTACAGAGAATATCGCATCACATGGGATACAACACCTTTCACCTCCGAGGCCCACTCAGGCCGCAGTGCTACTTAGTACTAAGAAGGATGATCTAGGGCCGAAGCTAACATCAGGCTTCAACCTGAATCAGGCAGAGGCTACCGAGGCTTGATCAGTTCAATCTTCCTGGCAGATTTACCAGATTAAGCTACACGAGTTTGGAAATTCTCGCCCCCTCCCATTGAACCCTTGAACGGCCTAGCGTATCACTAGCTCCAACTTGTTTTCCCCTGAAGTCCAAAGGATAGAATCTGCGACACGGAAACACCTTAACTGTCTATAGATCTCAAGATGTTTCTCATTTCCGGAAGTCCCCAACTTCTGTTTCTTCGATCGAATACAAGAGCTTGCTGCCATGCATAGCATCGCTCCTTTAGGTCTTGAGTTCAATCCATGAACGCCCATTTTTGCACAGGCCATGTCGAACTTCTTGCATTCGAAAGGACGAAGGGTCCTTCTAGCCTCCATCAGCGCAATTTTCAACTTGCCTAATTTTGTTCTTGATACCTGAAGGGAAACGTCATATAGGCAAAGACGGCACACCAAAAACAGATGGTTGCCAATTATTTACCGTCAGAATGTTGGGATAAAAGCTCTTGATGTCCTGGTTCCTTGCCCATCCATACCTTCTCAGAAATCAGTAAGGGATCTGAGCCATGCTCGCAAGAATGACGCATACTTTTGAGTGCCGAAGAAATAAACCAAGGTCCTCCTCCCCTTTTGTGCTTCATGGCCTTCGAAATCTTTCGTCTGAATCTGATTCAGCATTGTTCAGAGCCTACTTCCCTCCCGCAATACTCCGGTGCTCCTCCACACATGTACCTGAGCCGGCCAGAAGGGGTATCCTTTCATCTTCGCTAGTACGATGCTGTCTTGTGCGCAATGATCGCTGCCATTTCTTGTCTCACACACGCTGCTTTCTTTCATGTTATCGCCCATGGATCTCCTGTCCCACAGCGTAAAAAGTTTGTGGGTCTCAATCAGAAAGAGCGGGAAACTGAGATTTCGGTCTGTGAAGGGGTGGTATACTGAAAGTACCCCTTCTTTTCCCCTTTAATTTCCAGTACTTTGTACGGGTAATCATCCAAATGGTACCCTTGGGTGGTAGTTTGTAGATTTGGACCCATGGAGCTGTGGAGCTATTTTCTGGTTTCGTTCTCAAAGTGGGGGGTAGGATGGAAAATTCTGAACTGAATGGTGGGGTGGGGTACTTGAAATAGGGGGTATGTGATATGATGAACACCTTCATGAACATATGAAATAGATGTAGTGAAGGGGGTGAGGGTACTCAATGTACCGGTGAGTTATCACTGCCCTCATTCATGAATGGTCCACTTTCAGAAAAGGAGGGGTACTTTCACCAGGCAAAATGGGGGTAAGCAAGTTGGACTGGAGGCGTAGGCGTACTGCAAATATTGGGGGTGGGGGGTCAATCTTGACTTGGTGAAGAGGTAAAGGGTTGAAGGTATACTGACATTATTTAGTACTTCATTTAATAAAATTCTTACAATTGAAGGCTTTCGTAAATTATGAGAACGTTGAGCTACCCCAAAGTCTGGTGTTTGCTCAATACCCTACCCTACCCTTTCTCATCACCCCACCCTGCTGTTCGTTTCAATTCCTTGAGTAGTGTTGGCTCACCCCCATCCACTCTCACCCCTCAATTTCATTGAAAAAGTACCCTACCTTTTATCATTGACCCTACCCCCTATGTTCCAATCATGGTACCCCTACCAACTACCCATTTACCCCTACCCCCTAAATACTAGGACAAACTACCCCCATATCCATCTTGTTTCTTCCCCCACCGCCGCTTGCCATGCAAGCTCAGGCTGGGATGCCGCACGGACCTGAGCTTGTTATGTCCTTCGTGCTCTGATGACTCTCTCTTCATTTTGAGTAATCTACTCAGAATGTCTGAATCTCTGTACTCGTTCTGTCTTGAATATTTTCGAAGAGCTTCATCGAAGTTCTGTCGCGTCAAACATTATTTCACCCAGGACGTGTGATTGATAGTTTCGCGATGGCGATGTAGGGTAACACACGTGGTCAGAAACAGCAGGATCGTGTGAAATACTGTAATATCACACAAAATGACAATCAGCCATCCCTTGAAATTCTCTTGCTGCTGTTGAACTGATCCGAATCATGATGTTGTGCATGAGGAACCCGAACTGTTTGATCATGCTGGATCTTTCTTCTCATATTCCTGCACTTGATATTCAAGATTCTGACAGCATTGTTTACCTTACTTTGCTTCGAAATGACAATTGGATGTTACTTGGCTCATGAGGAATAGTATTGACTTACTGTTTGACCTTCTGCAGTGCGAGGTGGAGGTTGTCGCGCTTGGACCGAGAAGACTTGTTCACAAGTATCGATTGAGTACTTATGAATCCATTTTCCCTCTTGTATACCTTATTATTCGGGTTAGGGATTTGCCAAGATGATCAGTGCAGTGTATCTAATCAACCTTAAAGGCGAAATCTTGATTTATCGGGTAAGTCGCCAGACCCCGACGAAGAATCATATTGAATTTCACCCTCCTCAGGCATATAGAGATGATGTCAGCCGTGCAGCAGCAGATGCCTTCCGAATGCAGGTGCGTTTATCCTGTCTTGACATCAAAATGGGCTTGCGTGCCTTGTACCTCCGAGAAATTCACGCAAGAGTTGCAGGTTTTGGCGGCGAAGGAATTTCGTTCGCCAGTTCAAGTCTTTGAAAAAGCCAGCTTTTTTCACATCAGGTATAACGACTTGCTGCGGCAACTGAGGGTAACTTTAACAGCATCTGAGGGTAACCTTTCTGTTTTCCAGGAGTTCTAACGTCTACCTTGTCGCTGCTACTCGAGAGAATGTGAATGCTAGTATGGCTTTCCAATTTTTGTTTGCGCTGGTAGAAGTATTCAAGGTATGATGAAGGTGGAGGCAACGTTGAATCTGATTGATGCAAATAGGGTTATTTTGGCGGAGCATTCGAGGAGGAAGCGGTTCGAGAAAATTTTCCTCTGGTGTATGAGGTGGGAAAGTGAAGGGCTGAGGTTGATGTTCTGATGGTTTCTGCAGCTTTTGGACGAGGTCATGGACTTCGGATATCCTCAGGTGAATTCAAGATGAGATCTGTTTCCCAGCCTGTGCTCATGGACAGTTCATTCTCTCTTACAACGTGACCCAGAGTTGCTCTGTGGATTTGTTGAAAACATTCATCATGCAAGAGGGTCAGCAGCTTGATCCTGGCCGTGCACTTGTGGCAGCCTCTCTTGCACCTGCACAAGTTACTGGTGCCGTCTCATGGAGACGTGAAGGAATCAAGTGAGAGTGAATGTCTGGTTTACATGTGGGTTATTTTGTCCAGGTATCGCAAGAATGAAGTTTTCTTGGATGTCGTCGAAAACGTCAATCTGTTGATGTCTTCTAAGGTGGATTATGCATGGAGCTGTTGAACTCGATGATTGAGAAATGCGGTAGGGAACTGTTCTGAAGAGCGATGTCACTGGAGAGATTGTCATGAAGACCTACCTATCAGGCATGCCAGGTACTCGACCTACATCTTGAAGTACCGTTTTCTTAACGAAAGCTCAAGAGTGCAAATTCGGTCTGAATGATAAGCTTATGATGCAAGGAGAGGGCAAGAAGGGAGGATCTGGTGTCAATTTCTTTTTTCCGATTCTCGCAAACTGAATGGGAAAATCATTGCCTTTCAGGATCGATTGAAATGGAAGATGTTTCGTTTCACCAGGTTTGTATCAAATTTTATCTTTACATAGAGCTCATTTGCGTTTTTAGTGCGTTAAGCTTGGCAAATTTGACAGCGATAAAGCTGTGACTTTCATTCCTCCCGACGGTCCCTTCAGTCTTGGGCTATGCCATGTTCTAATCTGCTATCTTCAGGAGAGTTTGTCTTGATGAAATATCGTGTGTCGGACAACATCAATCTCCCCTTCAAGGTTTCCCCTATTGTAAAGGAACTTGGAAGGACCCGTCTAGAGGTGAGGCGATATCTGTCACTTTTTATAAGCCCCTGAATGTGTCCCCGTATCAGATCAACGTGAAAGTCAAGGCACAGTACAGTAGCGTGACGGGACTGAACGTCATTGTGAGAATACCACTCCCTCCCAACACAGCCAAGGTTACCACTACTGCTGCTGCTGGCAAGGTAAGGAGTTTCCCTCAAATTCATATGCAAATTCTCCTTTCTTTCGACGGGGATCCATCCTATTGTCTGTCGCAAGATCATTGATATCTGATATGATTTGGTGGTGTTAGGCCAAGTATGAGCCTGAGACTTCTGAGCTGGTGTGGAGAATGAGGAAGTTCCCTGGGGATACCGAGTATGCCTTGAGTGGAGAAGTGGAGATGTCTGCTCGCATTGAGGACAAGAAGCCATGGTCGAGACCACCCATCAGCATGGAGTTTCAGGTGCTCGAGACTTGTACATCTTGCCCTCGTCGATTCTTACCGTCTGGTCTCTAGGTCCCTATGCTTGCAGCATCTGGTCTGCACGTGAGGTTTTTGAAGATTTACGAGAAATCAAACTATAACACAATTAAGGTGAAGTGCTTTGTGAGTTCGTATCGCAATTTCGATCCTGATTGTTTTTTGTTTGGGTGCAGTGGGTGCGATATATTTCCAAGAATGGGCAGTATCTGAATCGTATCTAAGAGAAGTTTTCCCGTTAAGAATGAATTATTTGTTCTCGAGGTGGTATCAGTCGTTTGATGTTGATGTACATTACTTCTGACTTTGATTGGCTGACTCGGCTTCCACGATAAGGACTGATAAATCATTCGACTATCTTTACTCTTCACCATACGGTTTTCATCACCAGTAAGCATGAGGTACAAATCTAGGAATCTTTGCCTCAGATTGCTGACAGTCAAAACGAGTACACGACATACAAGGAGACATATGAGAACACAGCAGCGCTACTGTGGTTCCCACCGTCTATTCTCATATCACTCATGCTCGAGGGTGGCGTAATGACAATATCACACACACATGTTCCAAGACAGCAAATTGCAGAGGCAGGCAGGTCATTTCTCCGACGGAGGTTGGCCACCACTCGCATTCTTCAGAGCCTCCAACTGCTTTTCGTAGTCTTCCACAGGCAGGCAGGCAGCTGCTGCAACTCTCCCTTCCTGCGTCAACACATTGAAGGTGGCGAACGCATTGACAGAGTCCATAAAGTCCAGAGAGATCCCTTGGTCACCGAACCAGGAGATCAGCTCAGCCGGCGGCCTCCGAGTCCTGTTGCCGGTCCCTAGAATGCAGACCTCTGAGGAAAGACATTTACAGGTCAGCAGACAGCAGCACAGGGAAGTTGCAGGCGTACCTATCCGTGGGCTGAGCATCGTGAGCACCTTCAGGCTGTCCACCGTTATGTCCTCCATCGAGTTGACGTTCCAGAGGAACGAAGTCTTGGGTAGGAGCAGCACTGCTCCAGGCAGGATGACGTTGTTCACGACGATGCCATATTGGTTGTAAGACTGGACGACAGTCATATCCTCGAGGGAGCTGGAATCGAGAAGAGAAAATTTGTCCAATCCCATGTGCCTCACGGGCCAAGGGAGCCGCCTTGCGGTTGGGTTAAATGTTTGCAGTGGGGTTGGAAGATGATGGAAGAATTTAACGCTTCTGGAGTTCAATGACGGGTGATTTTGTCTCAGCAGAAGGGAGATATTTCTGCTGCAATTTGGTTGAAATCCCCCGCCCAAGGGCGAGGCGATCCTGTTCCAGTTAGTAGCCTTCTGGAAAAATCTACCAAGCACCATCCTATCGGTCGAGATTTTCAATGCGTAAAGAGTTGTCTCCGACGCTCTAAGAGCTCTTGTAGAGGTTGATCGAGAACCAGTTGAAGTAAATAGCGATGAAGTAAACAGGAATCGTCACTGGGACGAGGAGGCAGTAGTGGGAGTCGCCCTGGATGAACCTGACTACTGGGTTCTCAGACTGAGGGAGGAGCCTGACCAAGAAGGTGGCAGAGACGAAGAGGAGAAGAAAGGCGACAGAGCTTACAAGTATGACCCAACCAACAGCCTTAATCATCCTCTTCCTGCCCGGCCTCTCCTCCTCTTCCTCGAGTTCTCGCCGCCATCGCCGTTTGCGTGTCCACGCCGTTATAAAACCGTTACATCAAATCCTTCCACCCCCTTCACTTCCTACAGATTTCATCTGGTAGATGGGGGTCACGAGGAAAGTTAGTACCCACCCTATTCTCAGAAACAAAACAAGGGGTAGTATTGATTCCGAACTCGTCTCCCCTTGTTGCGATAGAGGTAGGGAGGGGTGGGGGTGGTGATGGTCCCCTGTGGGTCCAATGATGGAGTTCGCATGGGTAGGGGTGGTCAGGGTGGTGCGAAGAGACGCCTGGGCGGCAATGGGATCTTTGGAGTGTAAGTGATCAAGGAGAGAAGAGGAGAGGGAGGAGGAGGGAGGAGGAGAGGTTAGATCAATGCAAGAGATGAAAGGATAAGGTTGGACAGTTGAGGATATAGGGAGGATGGGAGGATGGGAGGATGGGAGGATGGGAGGATGAATTTACTTTTGCTCATCGATAATCTTCAGATGGTTCCATACCGCAAGGAGGAGTGGAGGGAATGAAGCGTGTTCGTTACCAGGTATGGCTGATCAGTGCATGTCATTCTTGCTCTGTTCTGTGTTACCCTGACTCTTTGTTCAGATGGCTTCGTTGGCTGCTCTGGCAGTCATGGCTCTGACCGTAGTGGTAGTCTTGACCACCACCAACCTTGGAATGAGAGCATCAGCCCTTTACTCGCTCGACAACAACGAAATGAAGATGGACAACGATTTTGCCTTGAAGAGCATTCTTCATCCAGGACAGCGGGCACAGAAGTACGGCAAGATTGCTCAAGCCGAGATGTTGGCGGCGAACAAGTATGATAGGTTGATCAAGTCCTCCGAAGACGAGGCCAAGCAGGCCAAGGAGATTGCTCATCTGGACCAGGCACAACTTCAGGGTCTGTACTCTGGAACTTTCAGCAGCGGTGATCCTCTTGGATTGCACACTGGGCATCTAGCGAACTACGACACCTTAGATTCTCTCGAGAACCTGCCCAAGACTTACTCCTCCACCACAAGGCAGGATGCCTCCGGGTTGAGTACGATGACTACGACTCAACTCAATGGCCTTCAGTCGGAACTCAGCACTCTGTCCAACAAGAAGCAGGACATCCTCTCAGCCCTCAAGCTCCAGAGGCAGTCGACTGCTGCGAAGGTGGCGAAGGATGCCCTGTACGCTGATTCCTTGAGGTTGAATCGCGCAGAGGCAACTTCATCTGCCCGTCAGATCCGTGCGGCGATGCGGACTGCGCAGATCGCGGAGCAGAGAGCCAGGGAGGCCCGCATCATCGTGCAGAATCAGGATGCCATCGCCCAGTACGAGCTCAAGAGATTGGCAGATCTCACCTCGCAGGGTCAGACTGCCTGGCAGCGCGCTGCCCAGGCTGAATCGCAGATGAGGGCCAATGAGGCTGTCAGGCGAGCAGCCAAGGACCGAGACTACAGCTCGGCGATGCAGTACTACACCTCCTCTCTCCAAGATAACTTGAGTGATGACATGTCAACCCTCAACCGGTTGAAGAGCGCGGAGGAAGCTGCTGCCCCAGGCCCTCGCTTGGTTAGTGGCACCTGGCAGAAACCCCCCATAGCGAGCAATCTACCTGAGGTTGACCCAGCGCTCTTCATGAACGACGCTCCCTTCCGCACTCTTGACTCTCTCACAAGCCCTTCGTACAAGCAGACGGGGACATCCAAGTTGGCACAGCAGGCTGGACTTACTCAGTTGTCTCAGACATCGAGCAAGTACACCAAGCAGGCACCCAAGGAGAAGAATAATCAAGAATCCTCCATTTTTCGTGTTATGCAGCAAGCAGATCAGGAGCTTGCAGCTTTGAACCATGAAAAGAAAGTGAAGGCTTCCGCCAACAATGTGCAAGACAGTGCCTTGCATAGCGAGATTGATTCAAACCTTCGCTCGTTGATGAAGCAAGCGAAGAAGACGGGTGTGGATATTTCTTCTGTTGATCAAGACTTCAAGGCCGTGAGGTATCCCATATCTTCAACCTCCTTCTCCATACCTTGATTTTCCCTCGTTCCGATCCTTGACATTCTTACGTCTGCAGCTCATCAGCAGCGACCAAAAGCTCGCAGAGTTCGTCCTCGTTCAGCAACAATCAGCATTTCACTTCCTTCCCCAAGGCGAGCCTTGCTTCAGTCCAGCAGGCGAAGGGAGACGCGACGCTGTTGGACGACGGAGCTCTCATTAAGGACCCCAACGCGCCCGTTGCTCGCATTGCCATCCCCCTTGGCGCTCATCAGGTGACGAAGGGTCTCCGTGCGTTTGATGGTCCGTTGACAAGCTTTGACAGGACGCGAAGGAGGACAGGAAGCTGGGGAGAACGTGGAAGAACTTGCGACGAGCTCCCAAGGCCACCATCCAGGACAAGTCGACTGAGGCCTCAGCTGTGAGGGCCGATGGGAGCCACAACACCATGGTGTGTAACCTGAAAGTCGGATATGTCTTGTCCCTCCTAACCTTCCCTTGCAGGAGAAGTTGAGGATGCCACAGGGCAGGATCACGAACTTCAACAAGCTGCCAGTCAGTGTGCACATGCCTCACTTGCAATGAGGAGTGAAGGCTGTTGGTAGCAAAGTATTCATTCAGCAACTAGATTTGTTAAAGTAGCACTTGGGAAACTTCATTGAGACTGTTAATCAATCCTCTTTGTTCAGTGGGTGAATCTTGCCCTTGCCTTTCCTCCTTTGCATACACATGCGGAAAGTGATGGATCGTTTCTCCGTTTCAGACAAGTTCATTCAATCGCTTCCAAGCTACCGAGGAAACTCTGCCCTATCGCCGCATGTCGTATTTGCCGCTCATCGACGTTGGACGAGAAGAAAATGCGCAGAAGCAGAAGGTGAGGAGGATTGTGGCCAGCACGGCTAAAAACCTCTTTGTCAGGTAAACATCTCATCAGCATTGAGTTCGCTCACCCATGATGACGTAAGGCCCGTCTGCGAACAATCCACTCGCATGTAGCGTGAGTTTCTTGGGGTAGATAGGCTGGCCGCCTGCACAGCCTCTCAGCCCTTTCCCTTATCCATCGCGTTCGTCCTACCTGTGTTGCGAGGTCCAGCCGAGTGAGACAGAGCGAGGTGATGAATGGCGTTCTGTTTGATCATGGCAGCTGCATGAACTGCTGCTTTCATCTTTTGCACCTTCTCCTGTCAAAACTCTCAGAACAAACCTTCATCGTATGCTGCTGCAAGCTGACCTCTGCATCGGCCAACTCGTTGCCCTTCACAGTCTTGGTCGCAAGCTTTGACTTGAGCTCTTTGATCGAGTTCAACTTGTCGTCTGCGCTCCCCATGTTCGCATGGATGCTCGAGATCTCGCTCTGCAGTTTCTGTGCTTTCGCCGATATCTCCCGAGCAACTTCAGCAGCGGAGGAAGGAGCAGATTTCGCATGAATTGCAGTCTGAAGCTTGTCGTTGGGATTTCCTGCCACACAACCAATGTGAAGTAGCATGATCGCGCCTGTAACAGTGGTTATTAACGATGTCATGTCATAACGACCATCTCACCGACAACGAAGGCGGTAGAGCATGTTGACATCACGTTGCAAGCACGGCGCATGCATGCAGTTCGTTCCGCTTGGGTTGTTCGGTTTCTTGTTTCGTCCACCATTTCATGTTCCTCATGAGACATCCTGAGCAATCAGAGTTACCGCCCGCCAACGAAATTTGGAACCAGCATCTCATAGCTGATGCGTTTGCCTACATCCTGTTGCATTATCGTATGCACGAATATGATACAACTATGAGCATTCAACCATATTCAGACCTCGTCTAATTCTTTCCTCTCTTCTTCTCTACTCCTTCAAACGACACTTTGTCAGTGCCTTCGGGTCCTCGCACGTTTCACCCAGCTATCTTCCTTGATATCTTTCACTTTTCTCGTCCTTGTCCTTGTTCTCGTCCTCCTCCTCTCGCCGCTCCCTCTGCTCCCGCTCTGCTCCATCTCTCGCATTCTCCTGTCCCCCGCCACAGCATCATCCCGCGACTCTCGGTCATTGGGGTAGGGGTGGGGGATGTTGAAAGGGGGATCCTGGGGTAGGTACTTTTGGTACCCCCTTATATCCTTCACATATCAGTATAAAATCATGGGTACTTCCACATAATCTATCATGATAGAGGGGGTAGGGGTACATATTCACTTTTCCATCCGAAATAGAGCGAGAATCCTGATGATATGTAACGTCTAATAACGTTTTCAGAGCACTGTTGTAACGTACAGTAACGAATACGTAACTTTTGTAACGGTGCGCCTTTCTACGAAGAGGCACCAGCCATGGCGAGGGGGACGGTACGCGCGCTGGTGCTGGTGGGGCTGGTGGGAGCAGGAACAAGCTTTCACACGCCCTACAAGCCAGAACAGTCGAGGCACTTCGATGTAACGAAGAGCTCGACCTTCAATCCCATCACAGAGAAGGTAAGACGCCAGTTGCAGGGTGTTTGACTGTGAGTGTGTGGGTTGGTGGAGGCAGACAGGGATGGTTGTGGAGACAAGTTGCTGGGTAGTATGTGGATGGAAAGATTGCATACAATGCGATCGAAACGGTTGTGAGACTTGCGTTAGAGTCTGTTGCATCTTTCGTAGGCGTCTAGCAGATTTGTGTGAGGTGCCATATCGGAACAGTCTGAGGAGTTTTATGGAAGCGGATGATGGCCTTGCCGTGCTGTACATGACTTCTGATGGCAGGTCTTTGACCTTCACTATGCTGATGGATCTCATCTGAGAGGATTCAACGGTGTTGACCAAGTCTGGGTAGGATAGCTGGTCAGTTACATAGCTGGTTTCTGACTCAACCCGCAGCTCGGAGACTATAAGTGCACTGCTCCTTTCGGTGTTATCACGGACTGCAACAGCCCCGACTTCAACGGTGTTGATGGAATCCTTGGCTTTGGTCTTCCAAAGTCGGGCGAGGAGGGCAGGGAGCTTCCTACCCCCATTCTCTTCGCCATGACGGACCAGGAGAACAAGATGTCCAACGCCAGGGACCTGACGAGGAAGTTTTCCTTCTTCTCCACTGACATTGATGGTACGTCAAGTCTTCTTCCATGACCTCCGCTGACGCTCTTCTACAGCTGAGGTTCAGCTGGGAGGGTATGATCCCTCCACTACCGTGGGGGAAATGTGGTACACTCCCTGTCTATCGGAGAACGACTTCATCGTTGGGGTGACTTCCCTGAGGTTCGGACAATCGTACGACACTTCTACTGAGCTGCTCAAGTTCTCCGATCCGATGGACGAGCCTTACCTTCCATCCATCATGGACAGTGGAACTTCTTGCTTGGTGATGCCGGGCGACACCCTGGGCGGGAAGCTGAGGAACGTTCCTTTCAATGACTTCACGAATCTCTGGGAGGAGGGCAAGTCTTTCTGGCTCGGAATCGGAGGAAGAGAGTGGCAGGTTCCCTTCTCCTCATGGTTCTTGGCACGTACCAACCAGACTTGCGTGCAACCGAGTCCCGCCGGCATGCAAGGACTTCTCATCGGAGACGTGTTCTTCAGATCCTTCATGGTTGAGTTCGACATGACGCAAAGGGAGAGGCCGATCATCGGCATTGCTCCTCTCAACTTGAAGTACAACCCTGTGAGGAACCCTCAGCTCGGTGCCTTCGAACTTCACCATGCTCCCATCACCAAGCTCCAGCTTCTGCGTGGAGAGGAGACGATGTTCCCGGCGGAGCACACGGAGAGACTCACTCAGGTCGATCAGATCCCGATCTTCAACAAGAAGGGAACTCAGTACTTCATGGATGTGGGCGTCGGAACCCCCAAACAGCCCTTCACCGTCATCTTCGACACCGGATCGGCTGTCTTTGGCGTCTTCGTGGTGAAGCATGACCTCCCCATGTCGATCAGAGCTCAGCTGCCCGACGATATGATCTCCACGAGCCTCTACATGCTCGAGCAGAAATCTTCGTCGACCGCGACTCTTCCGCTTGCTGGCGTGACCAACACGAAGTTTGCTGCTGGCGTTGTCATCTTCAACCTTTGCATGGTCGCCCTTGTGTTGATCTACAGAAGAAAACGACGATCAGTGCAGTATGATACGATTTCGCATGACGACTGTTGAGATTTATCGAGGACCCCCTTAAGATTTTGAAATCGTTGCATCAAGATATTGTTTTTGATATTCTGTTGCATTATTATTGCAGATGTTGATTTCACTTGGCAAGATTAAACATAACTGAATCTCAACTCTCCAGTCGTGATACTGCAAGTGCTTTCTTCTTCTACACACCTCCTTGCTAATTCTACACTCACCTCTCTCCCTCCTTCGAGCTCATCATTCATCGTCTTGCTTCACTCCGAACTTCCACGCAAGGGTCACCTGCGCTGCTTCAGCTTCTCCTCTCCCACTTCGATATTTCCTGACCCGCAACCCTCGGAAGCTTCGATGTGGAGCACTTCCCAGATGTGCCTGCCAGCCAGTCAGCTCGAGCAGTACAAGCCATGCACGAGCGAGCGAACCTGCCGCCCGTCATGCAGCACGAGCCTGAAAAGGAGCGTCAGCACATTCCATGCTATGTGTGACTGTACCGTCGCGGTCTAGGAAGGACAGCAAGAGCGACGTCAAGCTCTTCGGGAGCGTCACGGATGTCAACGGCATCACCGGGGAAGTAGAAGGTGTGGCCCATCCAGTGGGACCGCCACTCCTCGTTGGAGTAGTAGATTGCCGCGTAGTTCTCAGCTCCCGTCTCGTCCACATGGATGTTTCCTCCCTGACCGAACGTGTGCCCATTGGCATAGACCCGCTGGATCAAGAGCGGCCTCCCAGTAGCATGCGAGCATAGATCCAGCACGATGGCGCTGAGGTGCCGAATGGCCTCCTCCTCCTCCAACGAGCTCTGGTTGCACTTCCAGAAGAGCGAGTCTGCTTCGCTCAGCTCCCCTGCCCCGCTGGACGTGTGCCCCCACGTCCAGACTGACGGAGACTTGAAGACCTGGCATACCGCGCGGTGGAGGGCGGGAGAGCAGATGTTGTCGAACACTGCGATCAGAGGGCTCTGCTGAAGCACCCGCTTCCTCAACCCTCCCCCCATGTCCTCCTGTCTACCAAAGCCATCGAAGTTCATCCTCGGGCTCCTCCCTCCCTTCTCCTCATCTGGACTCGCCGGCTCACGTCTGGTGCCTGCTGGCGGAGGCAGCACGGGGTCGCCCCAGACGCTCTTGCAGAGCTCGGTGAGGACTTTCCTCTACACGATCAACTCAGACGCGGAGCAGGAGATAGCATAAGTGCGTGACAAAGGGGAGGCACTGGAAGGCAAGGGAAGTGACTCCGGCAGGTGGGAAGTACTTGCCTGAGAGTAGGTGAGGGAGGTCTTGAACTTGCCTGTGCCTGATGCCTCCTCCACAGAGACCCCGACGATGTGTAGAGGAGGCGAGCAGCCGGCTACAGCGAGCATGAACGATCGACCTTCCTGCATAGAGTGAGGACAAGGCAGTCACCCAGCTTCCATACCTTGGCCATCAAGATGTTGAAGAGTTTATCTCCATCTCCAGCAGCATGTCCAGCTGCTTCTGAGTTGATGTAGCGACCAAGTTCGCCAGTCTTGAGGTCCAGCAGCTTGACATCGAAAGTCACGAGCAAGAAGGTCTGGGAGCAGAGGGGTCGGAAGCGAGGAAGGGAGTCGGATCGGGGGGGGAAGGAGCGGAAAGAAGACAGTAGGGCTCACTAGGTTTGGTTTTGATTTCTGTAGCAGGAGCACATCGTCATAAGACTCCATGTTCCAGCACAACATCTCCTCCCCCGCGTCAGATACATCCGACACAATGTCAGAATCTTCATGGGCTATCTTCCTCCCCTGGTGTGACCCCGCGGTCCTGCAGGAGAAGCACAGGGCAGTCACAGCAAGGAGATCTCCTCCTGATGGAAGAAGACCTGATCCATGCCAGGAGCTTCACCCGAAGTCCCAGCGGGATGCCGAGAGACCGCAGGTCCTCTTCGGACATGAGGGCAAGGGCGTCCAAGTCGACAAAAGCATCCTTCAGGTCCTGCACCAGCCAGAGTTCACAAGAGCGGAAAGGAGAGAGGCGAGGGAGGTGACAGTGTATGCCACCTGGTAGACAGGCTCGGCTCCTATCTCCTTCAGCACCTCCCTCAAGTCTTCATCATGAGGTGCTACTTCTTCAACGTTCGCTCCATTGCGCATCACCCCAGTTGAGTGACAAGGCCGGTCTGACGAGCTGTCTCCTTCCCTGCATGTTGTCCTCATGGTGTTTGCTATCGATCTATCCGCATTGCTCGTGCTGAGAACGCTCCTCCTTGCTCCCCCCCTTGCTCTCGTTTCCTCCCCTGTCCCTCGAAAGAATTTCCTCACGACGTTCTCTCCGAGTAACTTAAAGTTTTTTAGGTCCAATCGTTTTTTTACTTTTACAAGATTTATCAACCCGCCGGTGCCACGACGGTCCGATCCGCCGTGACTCTACGGTCCCGGACTGGGACCGGGCCCGGGGACTCCCGGACTGACTCGCCGCTGACGGTTGCGGCGAAGGTCCGGGCCACAGGCTGGCCGCTGACTTCGCGGCAGGCCGGCCCGGAGGTCCGCCGGCCGGGACTCCGGGAGCAGGGCCCGACAGTGCGGCCTGCCAGTCACAGCCCGGTGGCCTGTGTAAGGTCAGTCCGACCCCGGCGGCCATCGGCGGCCAGGCGGGCCGGGCCCCCAAACTGCGGCCTGCCACTGCAGGCTCCGCGGCCCGGCGGCCACCGGGCTGCCTCATGCAAGGTATGAGTTGGCGCGCACAAAGGCCATAGTGTATGCAGCATTCGCCGGCACATCGTTCCATGCTGTCGTCCTTCGAATCCAATCCTTGATCTGCACCAACTATGATCAGTTCGATGCTGGGAGTAGTGCCGCATATTGAATCTACTTCTGTTGGTTGCCAGGCCAAAATTTCTTGAGCTTTGGACCTGCCAGGGACAAGCAGTGTGACTTGTACAGGTCATGGCGTAAGATTCTTCCGCATTACGAGGCTACAGGCCCGAAATCCACTGAAGGAAAGAAAGAGCGCTTGTTTTCGTCGAAGGAAAGTTCATCTCCTACACAACATGGGTCACTCTCTGAACTAGCAAGTCAAAGACATCTGAATCACCACCGCAAGCCTCTGCTATCATTTCGATAAACCTGTCAGATACTGTCATTGAGAAAGAGCCAAAAATGAGAAACATACTCTTTCATTGTTGGCTGCTCTCGCCCGGCGATGTTGAGAGAAAGTCCATAAACTCTGATGACGTACATGATGTTGAAGCGACTCGTGCAACACTTCAACTCACCTAGGTCCCGCCTCGATTGTCTTGATGATTGCAGAGACAACATCATGCGAGTAAACTGCAAACATTGAGATGCAAGGTATACGATTGCAGTGAACTGACCGATGCTGATGCGTTGACACAAGACACTGTTCTCATTCCCGGACATTTCTCTTCCAACGGGTATCTGCAGGTTGAATCAATCTAGATATCAAAGCAACAAGAAAGTGTACTGGTCTATGAGTCTTGATCAGCGCTTGCAGCTTTAAGAATGATCCCAAGTTGTCGTATGGACCCATCTCGATTCGAAGTTAACTTGTTGGCCAATCAACAAGTCCGTACGATCTCTTACCACGTCACACAATCTGAGTGCAGTGAATCGGAAACCCATCTTGTCATGGAGCACTTTTAAGCTTTCCTCGCACTCTAGTTTCCTGCTGCCGTATTCGTACTGATAGGGAGATCTGAGTCGAAGCTCCTCCTAAAACCAGCGATATCAAAAGGGAACCCTCGTGCACTTTCAAACCTTGTGCTCTTCACTAGGAGGTCTTTGTGCAGATTCCTCCTTGACTCCTCCTTCCTGATGGACATCTCAGCCTCTTTTTTCACCGGTATGACTTTCGCTACCTCGGACTGCGATGTTCGTAGACACGCCATGTAAACAGAGTCGGTCGAGATGAGGATGTAATGAGTTGGGGCGTTTCCCAGTCCCTGCAATTGAACCATTTTTCAAAACAACGGCAACTTACAATGCAATTTACTTGCCAGTGCAACATCCATGACTGATGCCTTGTGGAACGCGGCAAAATCTATCACAACATCCCACGGGCCGCTTTCTGATATGTGATTCCTGAACGCCTCGCGGTCTCGAGTTCTGTCACAGATAATATGGCGTACAGCTGGAACAAAGAGCTCACAAACCACTGCAGCAGTTCGGAAAAGTGTGAAAGGAATTACCTTCGCCGTGAGGATTTTTCGATTTCCCCCTGCTCAGTATCGTTACCTCATGACCGGCCGCTACCAGTTCCTCCACTGTCTGGCGACCCATGAATTGAGTTCCTCCGATGACAAGAATACGTAGCGACTCTGAAACCTTCTCTGGAATCTCTTGCTTTCCTTCTTCCATGAGTGAGTCTTGCGGGCTCCACTGATCTTTGAGGTTGCCCCGTGTGGCGTTGAACCCAATCAAGATCGCTACCAGTTCAGAGTTTCCAGTCTCGAAAGCGAAGTCCAGGAGAGTTTTCCCTCCAACCTCTAGGTTTATCTCACTTCTAATTGACTCGTCGTGACATAGAAAGCTTGATTCCTCCCGCCAACGCCGATTGCGTACCTTGTTTGACGGGTCAGCAATCTTGCAAAAGGAAAAATCACCTAGCCCACGTTGTCCATTTCGAGCGCTATTGAGATCAGGTTGGATATCTGCACAAGCATAGGCTGAGCCCTTTCTAAACCTTCCAAGTAGATGCATACACCTTATTGAAAGACTTCTTCTTGGCCAAGTCCAAAGCATTCTCATTCTCATCGTTCCTGATCGATGGATCTGCCTGGCTTTCTAGAAGTGTCTTCACAACGTCTTCGTAGCCATTCATGCATGCTCCCATCAGAGCTGTTCTATTGTGGAAGCTTGGATAGTTAGGATTTGCCTGCCAATACTTCAAAACCTATACCTGCCCCCGCCTCTTCCCCTCAGCGCGCCTCTTCAATCACTAGCAGACCCGCAGACAACACAGTATCCAACCTTATGCCGCAGAAGAAGTCTAACAACATTCACGTGCCCTCCAAGAGACGCGCCCCGTATCGCAGAATGAGCAACCCGCTGGGGATCTGGACTCGCTTTTTTTCTCAACAAGGAGTCCACCATTTCCAAACGCCCCTCCTATGAATTTCGGCAACAAACTTTCAACTTAGCGCGCCACCGTGCTACCATCACCGCCCTCCTCACCTTGGCGGCCATGATCAATGGCGACCATCCGCTTTCGTCTGTCCAGTTGGGGTCGGCCGAGGACCCGAGCATGGCGTCAACTTTCGCTTCATCCCCTGCCGCCGCAGCCTCTAGCAAGGCCTCCATGGCTTGAAGGATCCTGCAAGTAGGCAACAATCAAGTTGTCTAAATTATTGCTTCATCAAGACCACAACTGAGCTTGCCTCAGTTAAGTTCCCCGGCCCGGCCTGCCGCCCGGGAGTCCGATCCGGGCGCCGGGCCGGGCGGCCGCAGCGATCATCGGATCGGACCGTACGGTACGGCGGCGGCGTACTTCGGCCGGGCCCGCGTGACGGCCCGGCGTGACGGTCACCGGCACTCAGTGACTCGTGCGGGCAGTGCTCTGCGCCGCGCGGCCTGAGCCTGCCCACGGCGGCGCGCATCCGACGGCCGGCCGCCGCCGGGCCGCGGCCGCCCGGGTACTACGGTACCGCAGGCTGCCGCCGGGCGGCAAGTCACTCAGACATCCGAGACAAAGTGACAGGCTCGTCACGGGCCCGCCGGACTCCCGCCGGAGCCTTCGGACTCCCCCGGGGGCCCGGCCCGGACTGAGCCGTCCGGGACTGACTCACCGCCGCGCGGCCGGGGCCGCCCGGCGGGCCGCCCGGCGCGGCGGCGGCCCCGGGTCACCCCGGTCGCGGCGGCGCCGTGCTCAGCCGCTCCTGACCGTCACAGAGTCGGCACAAGTGAGGTGACTGAGGCTGACCGTGAGCGACGGGCCCCCGGGCCCCCAGCCGGGCCGGGGGAGGCTCCGACTCCGACTGAGCGGCTCACCGTGGCCCCCGGGCACGGGCCCGGGGCGCCGCGCCGTTGGACGGTCGGCGTTCGTTGAAGGCTGTCTAGCAGTACTGATGTTTAACTTAACTTTGAGTAAACTTAAGCTAAGGAACAGAAGAGCTCAACGGGGAAGACCGTCGGGTCTATGTCTGATCTCCTTTGACTCTTCTACCCCTACCCCCCACATTCGACCACCCACCCCACGCCGCCGAAACTTTCATGTCGTCCGAGTGTCACCCTTTAGTACCCGGCACTAACTATGATCAACTGAGTCATATTCTAGTTGTGTTCAAGCCTAGTACAGCCACCCCAGTACATCCCCCTACCACCCCTATCAACCCCACCCCACCCCCAGCAGATATCTGAGATATAAACAAGAAGCTCACGGGGTCCAAACCGCAACCTTTCGACAAATGTGGTACAAAAGGACCCCCGTCCACCCTGGGCTACAACTTGTCCTCGGCCTCTTCGGACCTCCAATCCCTGCAAATGATGACATGCAACGGATGTAACTGTACAAGGAGTCAGCATTGAAGGGGACGCAACACCCCTTTCACCCCTTGATTGAGACATTTCATGCTCTAATGAAGGGGGTGGGGTGGGGTACGATTTCCAATGATATTAAAGGTTATACGAACGTCATCACCATTTCCCCTACGTTTCATCCTTTGTTCCGTGTTCGTTTTTGCCCTCCCCCTTCCCCCCCCCCCCCCCCTTCTCACATCGCACCTCCCTCCGCTCTGTGAAATAGTCGTCAATGTCATACCCTCCCTCGTTCGCACAGAATTTGCTCAGCAATGAGAATGTTGCATTCATTGCGGGCCTTAGCTTAGGATTTTTCGTTTGCTCCTATATTCCAAGTCCAGCGCTTTTCAAATCGGAATCATCTGAGCTTCACAAAAAGAGGAAGTCAGAATCGGCATTTGATGAGCCTCCCGAAACAATTCAAAACAACGACACATCCTCTGCAAGGGACTTGAACATGAGCTTGGTCGAAGATTGTATGAATGATAAGTGTGGCGAGACATGCGAAAGTTGTCACTTCATCAAGTGCTTCGATTTGGATCCCAGCAGAGGATCTATGGATACGGGATTAATGGTTGTGGAGATGCCTTCATTCAGGGTTCTCCATATCAACTACGAGCTCCAGAAATTCCTTCAACTTCCTTTCGACGTGAATATGTGGCAGTATGTACCTGATGCATGCTGCTTGCGGCAAGCATTATTGATGCAGCACCATGACAGACAAGAATCTTTGAATTGTGTGGAAAACGCCCGGGAAACGATGATCATGTCGTATCATGGAACCAGCTTGAGGGTAAAAGTTATTGCTAAGAAACTAGAGATTGGCAAAGAGATAGGTAGCGATAAGCAGGTGTATTCTCTTCTATTTAACGGATTATAGTTTTGAAGCCGAATGAATTACTTCGTCGATTCGTCCCTACTTTTAAAACAACTTATGGTCCGCTAGCCTAGTAGTAGTAGTAGGACAGCAACAGAGTTCATGGTGATGGATCGCTAGTATGCCAGCCGTGCCGCAGTCTGATAGCGCCGAGTTAACAAAAACTCTCCTGTAAACCAAGACGACTTACGTGTTTTCAAGGCGGCCATGTAGCGGCGGCGTGTGGGACGAAGAGGGGAACTTCGAATGGCATTCGAGGTTCCTAGCCGCCGGCTTGCTAAGGTCCTCTCTGTCTCATGTCCGGGATGCTTCGGTTTCACGGATGATTCTAGCATACAGTCTATCCGAGTCTCATGTGCTCCTCAATTCTGGTTTTGTGTGCATTAAACTCGGTCTTGAGCAAAAACTGTCTTGTTGCAACTCAGTGAGGTCGATGTGACTCTGATATCTGCCCGGAGGCTGCGTGGCTTTGGCATAGCCGGCCAGGGCCGCGGCTGACCGTACACTGACTCGGACGGTGACTCAGTGAGTCCTCAGTCCGGGAGTCCGACGCGGCCGCGGCGCGGCGCGGCCCGCGGCCATCCGACGGCGATGATCAGTGCCGTGCGGTCACCGGGCAGCCGCTTTCCGAACTGGAAGACCGTCGGAGTCGGACGGCCCGTCACAGTTCAAAGTCACACAAGTTCCGAGAAGCCCGGCCCGGCCCGGCCGCAGTGACTGGGGCGGCTCGGAAGTTCCGAGCTGCCAGGCTTCCGCTCGGACGTGACTCAGTGACTCCGAGGCTCAGCCGTGAGGCTCCGACTGGCCAGTCTGAGTCAGGCCGCCCGGCCGCCGGAGTCCGACGGTCGCCGGGACCGTCAGCGGCGCCCTCATAGACGGTGAGTCAGTCGAAGTTTCAAAGTTTCGGAAGTTCATACATTCCCCACAAGAAAGTTTCCCAACTTTGGAAAAGTTTCGACGAAGGCGTAGAGAAACGCCATTGAACCCCACATTTCGACAGTTCATTCCAGTCGTGCACGGGGGTAGGGTGAAAAATACTAGAACCTATCTCCTATCTCCTAGAGCCTTCATAACACCTAAAGTATACGCTGTAGTATTACCCACCATCACAACTTTCCCCATGTATACCCTACCATGTCATTTGGGCAAAATTTCATAGTGCTTTGGGGGTGTTGAGACACTTTTGTATCACCCCCACCCGTAACATTCAGTACCCACCCTCCTCCCCCGCCACGCGGCAGATTCCTCCGCTCCAGACGCCATGGTGAGAGATGCGTGTTCGTTAAACATAACATCTCCCGTGTCGTGTTCGTTCACAATTTATGGATCTGCAAGTTTGATTTATTACATTGAATGATTCGTGTTCTGTTTTTTTCTCTGGGTTGCTGGTTGCATTTATGTATTGCCATGAAGAGTTGGGCCCACTGCTTGTAAGTCAGTTTCTCTTCGATTCGTTCTTCTTGAAACTTGCTTCTTGATGATCTTTTCTCTGGAATTTCCTTGATGTATTCAACTGTCCCCATGAATTCCTCGATCCTATCGTTCTTAATTGGTGTGTTGGCTCCTTGGGTCCCAAGTTTCACACTCACGTACACATGTCTCTCTTGAAAATCAATCAACACCTGTAAGAAATTCCTCCTTGCTGTGTTTTCCCGGAAAGGCTCCTCATTCAATGTCTCTTCGCCTCCATGCTTCCCTTGATACTTCCATGCAGGACGATGATTGGGATGCCCTCGGTGGACCAGTTGAAAACACCCAGCCCCCACCGGCAGAAAATGCAGATCCGTTTGGAGCTGATGATGCGTTCGGTGGAGAAGATTTAGTTGGCACCAACGATGGTTTTGGGGACGAGTCACAGCCAGCTGCTGCTCCTTCCGAGGATGTTTTTGGAGGAGGTGATGCTCCGGAAGGAGATAATGGCCTTCTTGGAGACGATTTTGGTGAAGAGGCCCAACCCAGCAATGCTGTTCCAGTCGCCATGGACGATGATGGTCTTCTTGGGGCCCCTACCAGTGGCAGCAACATGGACATGTTCGATTCTTCTCCAGCTCCTCAGTCCTCTGGGTTCTCGAATCCTGCACCTGTGCATGAAGACAACTCAATCCTCGAGTATGACTGTGATCTCATTTTGATTAGGATTTGATGATTGAAAACTTAGGGCTTGGGAGGCAGAGAATCGAGTGAAGCTTCAGAAGAGGAGGGAAGAAGCCCTTGCAAAGAAGTCAGCTCAGATGGAGCATGCCAAGAAACAGATCGATGAGCACGAAAACAAGCGCAAGGTGGACTTATATGATCGCGCGATATTCTTGGTTCTTACCCCCATGGCAGTCAATGATGGATTCCAACCAGAAGAAGAATCAAAGTGATGAGCTCGAATTTGTGAAGAACCGTGATGCTGCTTTGAAGGCTGGTCTTGCTGGTATGTAGCCTGTTTTACCCTTGATTTCTTTCTGTGCCGTCAGCGTGTCGGATTGCTAATTTTGCTATTTTTGAAAAGGCAAGGACTCATGGGACAAGGTTTGTACCTATTTGGACTTGAGCTCGGATCCAAAGAGGAACAACTTGGTACGTTTGCATCCTGATTACATTCATTCACTTCATCTAATTTGGCTTACTCAGATCTCTCGCATGAAGTCCGTGTTGATCGCTGTGAAGACCAACCCTCCTGCAACTGCAAAGAACTTTGGTGCTTAGACATGTTCATTGCGCTGGTTGCATGTCGGCAAGTCTTACAGATCGTGTGGATATTGCCGGGGCACGGAAGGCGCAGAAAATCATTGGCGTAATAGTGCTTCGTTTCTAATTAGATTTGCCGTTCCATTTCAGAAGTTCGAGTCCTTGCCGATCGCGCCGGGTCGTATTTTAACACGATGGCTCTCATTCATCGCTCTTTTGCTAAGAATATGAAAGCTCAACTTCACAATGATCATCCCCAGGCTGTACCTGACACTGCCGGCCGTGCGTTCGAGAGTACAGCACTCCGATAAGTCCCCCGCATGATGATGGTCACCCGGTCGCCAGGCCAGACTGCCCGGATGATGAGGCCCGACCGTAATCGGACTGTACTACCCGGCAGTTCCAAGCCTGCTTGCAGGCGTCATAGCCGCTAAGTTTAGGCCCTCATTCAGCCCTGTCTCTAAAAGCGGGAGCTTGGGGGGCGTGATGGCGATCAAGGCGTCGGGGGTAAGTGCGGCCTCGCTGCTCCTCCTTACCAGCCTCCTCCTCCTCCTCCTCATCGTTGTCAAATCACCTGCTTCCAGCGTTGCGCTCCGAGAGAACGAAGGAGCTCAGCTCAAGGCAAGCTCGCAGGGCTGGGGAGGTGAGGATGGTGACAAGGAAGGATACCACAAAGGTTGGCCAGAATACGATCGAGTTGACGACCCCCCCGCAGGGTGGGTCAACGTAGGAACTAGGTCCATGCACGTCTCGCGATCAGGGAATGGAGAGCTGGAAAAGATCGATGTTCCGGGGGATGCGGTGATCAGACCAGTCTCCGACGGGTACGAGGTTTCATTGCCGGATGAGCAGGAGCGGGATCTGTATGACGAGGACCGACACATCAAGAAATCTCGCAAGTGGTTGAAGCGAAGTCAGTTTAGTGACAGGGAGTGGGATGAAAACAGGCTCTTGAGAAAGTTCTGGAATTCCGAAGTGCACCCAGATTCACGTTGGCACGGATGGTCCCACGTCGGAAACTGGATTGACCATGTTTCTGACGGAGACGCCTCAATGCACGTGCGACTTCAACGCCAAGAGGAGGGACCAGGATACCCATCCAACACAGACACCACGAGGAATGTTTGGTATTACCACGATGGCTCCTACTCGTACGACAACCCTTCCAAAACACCAGCGCACGAGGCAGAGGACTTCGATGAGGAGACGGGGGATGGGGCACACGATTGTGATCTGAAGTGCATGATATCTCATATCGCAGAGACCATTGCCTCGGCTATCATAAGCAACAATTCTTCCAAGAGTGCTGTGTTGGATCATCCCCTGCCCAAGTGGTTGTCCCGCGGGGAGAAGTCAAGGACCAGCGTCAGTGTGATCACCTCCAAGGATGGATCTGTCGAGAGGATTATCGTTCCGTATGATAGCATCCTTTCTCGAGGATCTCGAGGGTGGAAGATTTCGTTTCCAAATCGCAAGAACCGTCAAGAAGGGCCCGGCTCTACGTCTGAGGAGTCAGTCAGTTTGCCTGTTAGCCAGAGATGGGTACACCCTGCGCACTCGATAGTCGATGTCTACTCGCCGTATTCCGATCCGTAAGTTCGCTTCTCACCCCACATCTTTCACTTCAGCCCCGTTGACTATCATCTTCCCTGATTCTTGCTTTGCATTCTCTCTGTGTTGTTGTATTGAAAGTTTGAACAGATACTATTGTGTGGACGGGAGCAGCAATCCTGAATGTGGAACAGACAAATGGGTTCGGGAGAGGACGCATGATTACTCGTTGGGATGGGAAGGACCTTCGAAAGAGGAGAGAGCCAGAGACTGGGAAGCACACAAGAGTTTTGTGGCAGAGCATGAGGGCCCGGAACATTCTAACACTGAACCTTCTAAGGTTGGGACCCAAGAGGACCAAGAAGAGCAGATTGCAAAGACGCTTGTTCACCTACTTGCTGGTTTGAAACATCGCAAGACACAGGGCTTGTTGGGCTCCTCACCATCTCGGACAAGAGCTCTCCTTCTCCATACTCCGAGGGATGAAGGTCAAAAGCATTGGGCTTGGAAACGCGATGAGCGGATGTGGAAGAAGCTCTCCAAGACTTGGGATCTGAAGCAGAGAAACCGCAGAGTCGAACATCGCCTTGCACAGCTGTGGCAAAGGTCTCAGGCCGAGAAGAAGGCTCAGGGCTCAGGACATGGAAGGTTCCAACAGTTGGCTCTGTCTGCTGACCTGAGCTCCTTCAATTCTGGGAAAGCTTCTGAGGGGACGTTGGAGCATCGGATTGACTCTCGTGCGCTCCAACAACTCAGAGAGCAGCAGGAGAGAAGGAAGGAAGCTCGGGCCACCAGCAAACAAGCGAGTACACCAGGGGAGGAGGGGGGCTTCAAGGAGAGAAGGCCAACGGTCAAGGACCAGGTTCGATCTTGGTTATCTTCTTATGGCGATTCGGGAGCGTCGCTCCTTCTGAACCGAAAGGAGCGACTGGAACAGGATGGAACCTCGCCCCAACTCTGATGGGTAAATCCAGATACAAGGATGTTGATGCTGATTACCCTTCGAAACTTATCCTTTGTAAATACATCTTGAAACTCCATGTGAGACGAAACAAACAATTTAGACTCCTAGGAACTACCGCTCACATTGGTAACCTAGACCAGAAACGATCATCTTGTCAAGCATCTTGTCAGGGCCCAGCGGCAAGCGGCTGGTTATTAGCGATCTGGCAACAAAAAATTGACACACCATGCATGCGCCCACGTGAAAAAAATCTTAGAGACACATAGAAGATGTTTCAGTCAGGAGAGAGAAACATGTTTCAGCTTTTCTAGTGCTCTTGTGTCAGCCATTTTCATGTAAAATCCGACATCTATCCTTACTACCCCCGGAGGTCTCCTCCTAGCCCTCAACTGTCTCTTGTCAACTCATTTCTTCGCCCATTCTTGTCTCATCCTCCGATTCTTTCCCCATCTCCATCGCTCCCTCTATCCCTCACCCGTTTCTCATTTGATGGTAAGATTGTCTTTATTGCTCTTGTTCATTCTTTTTATCTCTCATGCACAGTTATGATTCCGTTACCGACAAACGATTTCTTTTCATCCGGGGTTCTACCTCTCAAGACACATCTCTTTTGTTGAGCAAAACTTTTCAAATTATTCGTTTGTTATAGAAATTTAGCAGGTATATTTAGGACCACGTATTCAAGCATTGTCTTGATATTTGAGGATTCGGTAACATTAATTCCCGCGGATTGAAGACAAGGTTTCCCGCGTTGATTTCCTCGCGGGTTGTTGTCTTGGCAGCTGTCACTTGCTCTTCCTCCCTCCTCCTCCTCCTCCACCTCCTCCTCCCTCCTTTCCGTGCCTCTCCATCCCCAATTTCCACCCTCCTCCTTCACTCCCATCAGCTCTAGTGTCGTTTTCGTACTGGATGATGCCACGTTTCTAGCATGAAACCAACTTTTCCCACGGAATCCAGTTTTGGTTTGGTTTGGTTTGCGTTGAGATGTGCTCGGTGTGCAGATCTTTGGTGTGAACCAAAGTGAACGTGTAGTTTGGTGGTTTGTTACACGCTCAGCCATTAGAGACATTCGTAAACCGCGAATTGTAGCTTCGTGAGCCAACGGGGTTAGCATCGCATGCCTTGCTTGCTGCTTGTTCTCTTCTGGTTTTCATTCATCATTCTTGCAACTTGGACTTCAATGGTCTCTCTTCTCAAAGGGCATCCCTTCAAACACTTCCCTACCTCTACCGAATGATATCGATTCCACCGTCTTGACATATGATCGTATTAGTTGTCGTTGACGATGTTTTCTGCTGTCTGTCCCTTGTTGCTTTATGAGAGTCGTGTGTTTGAGTTGCACTATAGATGAAAATCTTCATATGCATTCCAAGATTTCTGATTCACCTTGCAAATGCAGGTAGTGCCGCTCTCCAATGGTGTTCCAACCAACATTGTGGCCGGCCTGAAACAAGCGCAAATCGGATTGCATGGAATTCAATCTGACTGTGAAGGCTTCACGGCGAGTTTAACTTGTGTACATCAGTTGATATCTGGCTGTGTAACGGATTGAACAATGGACGATCATTTCTTCAACATGAGGAAAGACAACTTCGACGAAGAGAACGCAGGGTCGATGGTGAAAGGGAGCGATGCGCTTTCCAGGTCTGCAGACGATGATCTTCAGCATACTCAGAAGAAGAGGAAAGTGGAGCAAGGCCCTGAGATGAATTCCCTTGAGGTCTACAAGAAGTTTGCAAGCGAAGAAGCCATCCTGTGTCCATTCGAAGTCAGTCTTTTGTTGTGTACTTCATGTTGCGCTGATCTCCTTTCCAGGCGTTGGATGGACCGCATGCCTTCACTGTCCTTTCACTAGGTGCTGTGCTACCGGATATTCCAGGGTATCACAACTACGACCACATATACCCCATTGGCTACAAGGGTCTTCGTTGCTTCCCTAGTATGGAGAACCCTCGGCAGCTCGGGCATTTCTCGTTTGAGATTCGCTATGGCGGCTTTTTACCCCAGGGAGGACCCTCTTTTGTTGTCCGGCAGTGTGGCGTGAAGGAAGAGATGCAAGGCTCGTCGCCCGATGAGGTGTGGCAGAAGGTGGTGGAGAGATTGAGGTCTGGAGGGTACCCCTGGAGGAGGGGTGTGAACGGTCATGCTTTGTTTGGTCTCACTTCAGGAACAATTGTGAAGGAGATAGAAAAACTCCCAGGCGCAAGTTCCTGCATGCAGTACAAAAGCAGCACTCCAGTCCAGTTGCCAACCTTGCTTTGGTCACATCAGCTGCCAGTCGTTACGAACCGTCAAAGCGAGTCCTTCGCCGAAGTGACAACCGAAAGGAATAAAGTTTCGAGCCGTGAGATGATGAAGCAGGAAATGATCAAGCAAAAATTGATCCAAGAACGGAAAAAAGTAGAAGCCAAGGAATGGTTGAGGATGGAACGAGTTAAACAAAAAGCTGAATATGAAATGCAGAAGGAAGAAATCAAGATGGAGTTGGAGCGTCACAGGCAGGATGAGAAAAAGAAACGAATTTGGCAGAAGACAATTGAGAAATATCAACACAGACTTGTGATGATAGATGATCTGGAACTTATTCATATCCAGAAGAAGTTGGGATTCTCACCGAATGGGGATAATGCAAACTTGCATGCAGACTTTCTCAAGGCCGATCCACTCCAAGTGAAACTCAATTCTGATGTGATATGTGACTCTCTTGAGGTATGGGAATTCACAAATTTCTTTTCACAACACTTCAAGAACGAAAAGATCTCCTTCGAAGAATTTTGTCAACTCCTTTGCAATCCTAGCTGCGAAATCTTTCGTGGAATCCACATATTCCTTATTGAAGCTCTTTTCACAGACCTGGGGTCATCCAAGAAGGCCTTTTTGGGTAGACCCCTGAATGCCTTAACCTGGCCCGAGCTTTTCCGTCAATACATAGCCATGGTCTGCAAAGAGCATCAACTTGACTGCCTTGATTCCTTGAACGAACGAATGGGATTGCTTGAGTTCTGTAGATATTTGTCGGAGACTTATTATGAAGATCTCCCAATGAAGGCAAGATTGGATATGTTGATTTTGAATGTCAATCTTGCTCTTGAAACATCATCTATCCGAGGATTGTTGGATAGAAAGGCTGAGTCGTATTCGATGCTTCTGATGGACAAGAAACAGGAATTCAATCATTCGGTACGCGAGAAGCATCGAGGTGAAAGCAAATCAGAAAGAGTGGATATGCAAGATGGAAATCGAAGTCCAAGCATTGCTGCACAGCCCATGCAGGTTGATAACAAATCTCCAAATACGGACAAGTTGCAGCAATCAAATAACATTTCAGCAGCTGCAGTGTTGCTTGGCTCGACACCCGAAAATGCCACAGAGAATGTAGTCAAATCGAACATTCAATTCCAACCTATTGCTCAGATGGATGGAGCAAATGACGATGCTGACGACGACGACAACGACGACGACGACGACGACGACAACGACGACGACGATGACGATAAGAACATGCGCGACGATGAAAACGATGATGACGATGATGACGATGATGTTGACGATGACCATGACGACAATGCGGACGAGGAGGATGAAGGAAATCGAAATGGGAGCATGAATGAAAGGCTTTCTCAGGAAGGATGGGGACAGGAGGATGAGGATGAGGATGAGGATGAGGATGAAGGGGGGAAAGACGTTGATGACGTAGACGTTTCTGACTTTGCTCTCAACGATTCACACGAATCCGATGCTAGGAAACTGGCTCAAAAGGGCAGAGGTGGAAGGCAAGTGGCAAGTGAATCTCGGTCTAGATCGAAAGTTGGAGCCTCACAGAGGGCAAGCGCGGACTCCTCTGCATCGACAGGTCGCGGTCGAGGCCGAGGAGGCAGGGGAGGCAGGGGAGGCAGGGGAGGCAGGGGACGTCGTGGCGGACGTGGCGGTCAGGGTGGGAGAAGCACAGGTACAAGAGGACGAGCAGCAGGGAGAGGGAGAACACCATCAAGATCGGAGAAACGAGGTTCATCGCACGCTGACACAGAAATGATTCAAGACGAAGATGTTTTGTCAAGCATCAAATATTGGAGAAGGTGTGAACAATGCCTTTCTTGGAGATTTTTGGAGCAGGGGTTCTCCAAGTCAGAGGAAAACCGTCCCTGGTCATGCTCTGCAGCAGATTTGACTTGCGATGAAACCAATGAAGCAGAGACCTTCACAACTAATCTTCATACAATCGTCGGAGATAAGGTCAAATCAAACTTCAAGCTGGTGCTAGAAGGTGTTGAATTCTTTGTGCATGAGTTTTACTGGTCTGTTCAATCTCTCGGAGGTTCGGTTCGAATCAAGAGATGGAAGATCGTTGCAAATGACATGATGCTCCGCAAGCTAGGAAGGAAATGCATCACGTTTCCGGGGAGGGGTATAGCGTACATGCCGCGTCAGTGGGAGAAGTGGCAACTCTCGGAGTACGAGAAGATCTACGGCAACATTCCGCCTCCCCAGGAATATTTATACAGTGCCAAGGGTGATTGTCGTCGGTCCCGGGGGGGGGCAATGATGGGGGTGAGGAAAGCGTTAGGGAGAAAGCCTGTGTTCGATGTGGAAGAGAAGGAAATGAGGGACTCCGACAATGATAAGGGAGTCGAGGAAGATGAGTCAATCCCAATCCCTCATAACTTCGACGACTTCAAAGAAGAGGCGCAAACTTTCTTGCAGCGATGGACTGAGATAGTGGGGCCAGACATGTCGGAAGAGAGGAAGTTCAAAATCGAATCCATTGAGTTTTCTGTCTACGAATTGTATTGGTCTATGCAGTCCTTTGGAGGGTCCAAGAAGTTTGACAAGTGGAAGTTAGTAGCAAATGATATGATGATTCGCAAGATGGGAAAACCTTGCTTCCCGCTCCAAGGACGTGGCTATGGGTATATGCCAAAGCAGTGGGAGAAGTGGAAATTGGAGAGGTATGAAGAAGAATATGGTTCAACCAACATCCCAGCAGTGTATGACAAACCAACAAAGATCTCTCTTGCGATGGCCAAGAATCCAAGGACGATCAGCTCTGAGTGGTTCCTTGGGGGTGCGAGGAAAAATGCCTTTGGTGATGGAGGAACAGACGATCCCTCGAGGGCGAGTCCAAACGATGTACATAGAGCAGCCATCGATGACAACCTGAAGTTTCTCATCAGCATCCATGAAAGTGAGTCGTTCAAGAAAGGTATCAGGAAGGAAGATCTCAACAAAAAGAGATCCCTGGATCAGAAGTACAAGTCTACTTTGTATGATAGAAGGCCTAAGTCTGAATGTTTGGGGTGCGACAGGTTTTATCGCCGGTACTGGGTGTTTGGAGGTGATTTTTCAAGGATCTGGATTCAATCCCCTCCAGCTTCTTCATGCGAGCGGGAAGAATTTAAAGATCTGTTCGGCGACGTCCAATCAGAGCACGCATGGTGTACAATATCCAAACCTCACCAGTTGGAACATTTGATTCAGTCCCTGGAATCGTATGGCGTACGCGAGCATGAACTGATCGAGAACTTGGAGCTTTATCGCCACGATTTCTTGAGTCACATGTCCAAGAAAGAGAGTGAAGTCAAGGCCGAGGCGACTGGAGACCAAAAAATGGAAGTTGAGACCAGTAATGTGACGGAAAAGCAACCACCTAAGAGAGCTCCTCGGCCATTGAAGGTTGGAATAGAAAGCATCGTCTCGAACGCCTCAAAGTTCCTTGAGAAAGAGCAACCTGAGGGTGGACATCGTGCTTGTGAGTTTGTACAAGAAGCTTACAGCTCCATCCGCTCAGAAGAGGTTGTGTTCCTTGTGACCTTATCTCGCATAGAAAGTAACTTGCGTTTTCTTGGGCAGATTGATGCGGCAAGAGCGTACTTTGGCATCGACTTGCCGGCGGACGACAGTGAAAGTGACTTCCCACGGCACCTGCCGGCATCCTTGTGTAAACTCAAAGGAGATCTTTTGCTGATCGAGATGGCCTTGAACGAGGTATTCTTTCTTCAAGCCTTCACCATGGCTGACGTGTTGTCATTGCAGCTTGCTGTAGATTCAGAGTTCTTGAAGATGAGGAAGGAATGGCTGCAGATGGTCAAGATGGCTCGTTGCCCTCATGACCTCGTCGAAGTTCTCAGGCTCCTGATCACTTCGATCAAGGGCAACTGGCTGCGCCCCTGGTTCTCCGGCCTCCCGCAACCCTGGAAGGCCGAGGAGAAGAAGGACTTTGACAACGGGGAGTCACAGGACAACGAGAACGAGAACGAGAGTATGAACGTGAGCGAGCTCGGGGCGGGCAGGCAGGATGACTTCGGGCCAGAGCTGCTCTGCAGTTACACGTCCGTTGGATCCATTGCTATCATCCTGTATGCTCTGGATGAAGCCATCCTCTACGGCGGCACAGCCTCCTCCGACATGTCGTCCATGGAAATCTCTGATACGGAGGAGGAGGAGGAGGAGGAGGAGGAGGAGGAGGAGAAGCAAACGTTTGTCGACAGCACAATGCAGCAAGAAGGAAGCGACGACGAGCGGGAGTCGCCCATAGAGAGCTACTCCTCCAAGCAGCGACGTCGCGTCTTTCAGCCGGACAGTTCGTCGGACTCGTCCGACAGCAGCTGAGCATACAAGTCTTGTAGCGACGATGTCAATTCTAATATTCTTATTAGAACCTTGTCTTGACGTGTGCGAGTGCTGGTAGACAGATCCAAACTCATGCGGGCAAGCGGAAAGATGAGCACCCAAGGGCTGCAAGGTCTTCATTCTTGCTCTTCGTCTCCTACTTTGAAGTCGATGGCGACATCCCATCGGCTGCTGGGGGCGTTCCCTCCAAGGTACTTAACAAACCTCATCACCCCGTTGTCCTGCACGTGCGGTGAGCGAGACAGGAGTGACATGATCAACATGCCGACCTGCAATACGACGCTCATGGTGTTGCTGCGAGCCAGAACCTGTGGAGCGATTTGACAAGGAGCGAGAGAACAGAGAGGGAGCAGGAGCAGGAGCAGGAGCAGGAGCAGGAGCAGGAGCAGGAGCAGGAGCAGGAGCAGGAGCAGGAGCAGGAGCAGGAGCAGGAGCAGGAGGAGCAGGAGCAGGAGCAGGAGCAGGAGCAGGAGAGAGGGAAGGGACAGGTGGGACGTTGAGATGTTGAAGAAAGTAGGACCTGAAGTAAAGGCCCGTCATCATCATCCATCTTGAAGACGTCGGAGGCCTCGGCTGTCGTCTCCTCCTCAGCTTCCACGTAGCACTCGAACCCCCCGACATCCCCGCTGCTCCACAAGTCCATCTTGTCCTGCTTCGACATCTTCTCCTTTCTGATCGATTTCTCTCCGTCGTACTGCAAGGTGGTCAGTGACGGGAGAGCAGGGGAGGAGGAGCGCAAACCTGGTCATCTACTGTGCACCACACAAGATTTAGTCTTCCTTGCTTGCAGATCGACCCGTAATGAGCGACAGTGTAGTCGAGGCCCGGACGGAACCTGGAACGGAATGCCCATCACTACAACGACTCTGTCCCTTCCTTGTCGCAATCCTCCTCAGAGTCCGCATCCATATTGTCCTCCCTCCCTCCCTCCCTCTCTGTACCTCCTGCACTCTCCCTTGGACGATAGCAGCTTCAGAGAAGTGAAACTGAGGAAGAAAAGTCAGGCCCTTGCGATCCCCGTGGTCCCACCAACCTCTTAAGGAACCGCAGGAAAGGAGCAGAGACAAACTTCTGCTTCAGCCACTGCAGGATCGCACCTACTGAGCTCCCCTTCTTGGGCTGCGCTGGTTGGCCGTCGTACTTGAGGTACCGACGCATGTGAGGAGGCCCGATGGGTTCCCATCCCTCCCCATATCCCGCCTCGTACTTGGGGATGGTGCCTTGTCCCAGCTGCGCGTCTCAGGGGGTCAGAGTGCGTCGAGCTGCCGCTGAAGTTTTCACCTTGTGCCGTCTGTCTTCTTCGCAGCAGAGCTCGCGAACGCAGTCGATGACGTCATCCGACAGAAAGTCGTACAGCAGGATGTGAGATTCTTCCTGAAATTTCTCCAACATCTGCGCAAACGCAGTGTCCTCGTCACAACCTCAGCAGCACCGTTGTCGGAGCGCTGCACCTTGCCGATGGCGTCAGGCTTCAAGTAGGCGCTGTTGATGAAAGAGCTCAGCTCCTCCTTGTCCTCCTCAGTCAGCACCGCGTTCGCATCGCCTACGGAGGAGATTCAGAGGATGATCACGCCTTGCCGTCAGCTCACACCTGCGACATCGTCGTAGTCATGGAAGGGATCCTCGTTATCGACCTTGGAGATGAGCTGATTTACAGTGGCCATGGAGTGCGTGCTCGTGTCTTTGGGCCCATGGAACCATCCCTGTATCGACATCCTCGGCTTTTCCGTATATACCTCCTGCACAGAATGGAACGACAATCCTGGTTGCACCT